CTTCCTTCCTTCCTTCCTTCCTTCCTTCCTTCCTTCCTTCCTTCCTTCCTTCCTTCCTCCTTGCCTGCCCATTATTTTACTTTGTCAGGTAAACAATATTTATTTTGACTTTTCTCTCCCTGTAGGAACTGTTAGCTTGTCAGGAAAACTGTAAGAAAACCTTGACACTCATTGAGAAAGGGGGTCAAAGTGTCCAGAAGTTCGTGAGCTTGAGCAACGTGTTGAAGCATTTTGATCAGACGAAGCTGCAGAGACAGCTTGCAGACGTCCACCTTGCCTTCCAGGTAATTTGCTTCCCTGCTTCAGTACCATGAGCCCAGGTCAGAACAGGGTCAGGACGAATAAGCAGAACTGGCCCCAATCCCTCACTATCAGATACTTGGAAGGCAAGTATTTTATTGCCTTTTATTCCCCTAATACTAAGATCGAAAAGAGTTAAGCATTTTCATCATGATGAAATGTCTTCCTTCCAAGTGTTGGTTAAATCAAAAAAGAATATGTATATAAAAAATTCACTATTTAGAAAGCAGCATCAAGCTGTGGTCATCACCAATTTACGCCTGTGTGAGTTCTGCCAACTATGAGTTGAACATATTGTGGGGGAAATGCATTTATACTGATCATGTGTGGTGTTTACTTTTCCTTGTCACTAGTCGCAGAACAACACAGCAGGTTTATGTTGTGGGAGGCATTGAAGTACTAGAGATGATGTACAGCACAGAGGGGGATGTGTGTGGGTTACGGGCAAACACAGCAGCATTTTCTATAAGGGACTTGAACGTCTGTAGATTTGGGTCCTTTGGGGGTCCGGAAATCAACTCCCTGAGGACACCAAAGGATGACTGTGTTTGTTCCCACCAAGAACATGGTCAAGAAGACTGGAGATTGGAAGAAACACGTGGAAACCAACAGTCGCTTGATGAAGAAATTTGAGGAGTCCCGGGCAGAGCTGGAGAAGGTGCTGCGGGTCGCTCAGGAGGGCCTGGAGGAGAAGGGAGACCCTGAGGTGCTGCTGCGGAGACACACCGTGAGTGACCTCTGCCCTTTGTGGCCCGGGTGACCCCAGGGCCTGTGGAAGAGTGACTTTGGCTGAGAAACTGAAAAGACCATTTTACTGTACTGCGGAAGGTTTGGTCGGAGTAGAGAGATAATAAGCCAGGAAGGCAGGAACTTTGTAGATAGATAACTAAAAATAACAACTCCAGCAGCCATTGATTTGCTGACTTATGAAAGACGATTCTTAAGCTTCTGGAATAGTAAACAGGTTCTCTAACTGACTCTCGTGATTTAGCTCAGAAATGCATATGTAAGTAAAGATTCTCTTTCTCTCTCACCTCTCTCTGTGTGTGTGTGTGTGTGTGTGTGTGTGTTTTTGCTAGTTAGCTAGTTTATTAGTTTATTTCATGAGTACTGAGGTTTGAATGGGGGGGTCATGCTTGCTTGGCTCACTCTATTAGCTGGCACTCTACCACTTGAGTCATACCTCTAGCCAAGCCTTTTCTGCTTATTTTGGAGACAGAGTCTTGGGGAATTTTCTGTCCTGGATTGGCCTCAAATACAGTCCTCAGTTAAGATTCCAGAGGGGCTAAGCTTCTACTGTTGAGTTTTGCTGGTTCTCTCCCTGGTGGGGTCTCACTTCCTGCCTGGCATGAGCTGGGGGTGATCCCCTTATGTTAGCCTTCTGGGTAGCCAGGGCAGCTGGAAGGTTCTACTGTGTCCTGCTTGCATCTAGATTATTTTTTTAAGAATGGGTCTTTTTTTTTTTAACCAGTCCTGGGGCTTGAACTCAGGGCCTGGGCACTGTCCCCGAGCTTCTTTAGGTCAAGGCTAGCACTCTACCACTTGAGCCACAGTGCCACTTCTGGCTTTTTCTGTGTATCTGGTACTGAGGAATGGAACCCAAGGCTTCATGCATGCTAGGCAAGCACTCTACCACTCAGCCCCATTCCCAGCCCCAAGCAAGGGTCTTGAGGACATATTTTGCTGCCTAGTTTTCCTTCAAACCATGATGCCTACAATCTCAGCTTCTCCTTAAAAATTCAATAGAGAGCTTGAGGTGATTGCCCACATGTTTTTCACTCTGGTCATCATAAACTTGCTCTGCTATACTTGGTTATTTGGAGTCCAGCAGCTGATGCTCAGCTCATCCTCATACTTAGAGCCCATCCTCCTAATTATCCTACTTACGTAAATTAGACCAGCTGTGAGACTACTAATGCGTGAAGTGCCGTGTGGGGCTGCACTGTGCAGTAGTTGTCCCGATAGTTCAAGACATTTTTGTGGACCAGGCCCTCAGAGGGTGATGCCAGCAATGGGTCTGGAGCTCTCTAGACTTAGGGTTGGTTTCTGTGGCCCTGGAGCATGGAGCATGTCATGCTGTTTATAAAACCACGACTGTCTCTGCATTCTCTGCTTTGGATCACTGTGGTTTCAAAACGTCTCTGCATGGATGCACACAAGGCTGGAGAAGACATCCATTCCTATCTACATGTGAATTGCCTCTGGTATCCAAGGTGCTATAACAAAATACCATAGACAGTGCCTTCAGCAATAGAGTGTATTTTATTACAGTTCTAGAGGCTAAACATTTGAGACCATGGATCTAAAATTGGTAGGGTTTTGGTAAAGTTCCTCTTTCTGGCCATCTTTTCCATGTCCTTGTATGTCAGCAAGATCACAAGCTTTCTGGGCTCTCTCCCCATAAAGTCTTAATTCCTGTCATGGAAGTTCTATTCTTATGACGTCATCTAAATGAATTCCTCCCTCCCCCCCTCCACAAGTCCCATCACCCAATTCCATCAACTCTGGGGTTTAGAGCATCAAGAAACAACTGTGGAGGAGGGGCAAGGTTCCACCCAGAGTTGCAGTGAGTGGATGAGGGCACGTGGTAATGGGGCATAGGAACTGTCACGTCTGAAACACATTGCTGTTAAAAAATGAGGGCTTCTGATTTAGTCTTGGCTTCTGCCCTGTGCTTCTGACTGTACCAGAGTTCAGTCGTGATAGAATCAAGGTCCTGAGGCCTACCGCTTGCCTTTCAGAATAGTCTACTGGAAGTTGAAAAGCAAAAAGACCTTTTTTTCCCCCACTAAAATGTAAAAAGGACTAGTTGAAGGACAGAGGTGATGAGTTGTGAATCCTAACTCTAGAGAATTACAGCCTATTACTGACAACAAACAGTGGTTGCACGGCACCCGAAAGAGGCCTGCAGCTGACCACGAGGCTTGTCAGAGGCGTGAGCACGCCCCACGGGGCCCTGATTTCTGCCCAGCGTCATGACTGCTCTTCCCTCTGCCAGGAGTTCTTCAGCCAGCTGGACCAGAGGGTGCTCAACGCCTTCCTGAAAGCGTGTGACGAGCTCACGGACATTCTCCCCGAGCAGGAGCAGCAGGGGCTGCAGGAAGCGGTCAGGAAGCTGCATAAGCAGTGGAAGGTGGGTCAGGATTCACAGTTGAGAACACAGAGTGGAGCACACCAGGCCAGGCGTGATGGGAGGGTGCATGGGAAACGCAGGTCCACGTGTAAGGGAAATGCAGACACTCGTGAAAGTCATGGAACTTAGCTTTCCCATGAAAAATAACTGGATTTAGCCAGGCACCGGTGGATCATGCCTGCCATCCTCGCTACTCAGGAGGCTGAGCTCTGAGAGTTTTAGTTTGAAGGCAGCCCGAGCAGCTCACCACCACAAAGCCTGAAGTAGAGCTGTGGCTTAATTGGTAAAGCACTAGCCTTGAGGAAAAAAAAATCTCAGGGGCAGTGCTCAGGCCCTGAGTTCCAGCACTGGTCCTGGCACAAAAACAACAACAACAATAAAAGAGAAACATACCAAAGCTAAAACAAAGTTGACTTGAATAAGGCATGATATAAGAGGGCACACTTTTGTGATTCCACTTGATAGAAACATATGGTTTTATTAAACTACTTGAGCCCTCTTTATCTCCCGGTTTGAGAGAAACAGGTATGACAGGGACATTTAACTTACTCAACCACACCTAATAAAGGTGAATTAATCATCTTAGTCATATAATTTAAATTACAAATATATATGTACGTATGTGGGCATATATACGTATGTATACATACATACACACATATGTTTGCTGTCTTCAATGATTTTACCATCCGGCTTACAAAGTTTTGATCTAAAAATATGAATAAAAGCATTTATTCGGTAAGGATTCAAAGATGAAAAAAAAAGCATAATCCCTTCCTCTAGGATTCAATTAGGGAGATAATGAGTTGCAAAGAATAAAATTAGAATACATATTTCAATGCACAAATGAATAAGATGTTCTATTTATGAAAAGTTTGAAAGAAGACCGGGAGTCACCAGGGGATGGTGAAGAATGTGAGATGGTGCCTTAAAGAAAGAAGCAGAAACCTGGGGAAGAGAGAAAGCTAGAGGGCGTGCATGGAGGGGGGACACAGGGGAACACAGTGTGGCCTGGGTGGAGAGCTGTGGGAAGCAATACCAAGCCCAGCACCTGCAGTCTGCCTGCCCTGCCATCAGCTCTGGAGGCGGCGGCCGGCCGTGTCCCTGTGCATCCTGGGGCCCCCAGTAGGAAGGTTCCTGGCTGCAGGGGACAAAGCTATCAGAAGAGGCTGTTTTTTTGGTTTTGGTTTTGGTTTTTGCTGGTTCTGGAGCTTGAACTCCAGCACACTGTCCCTGAGCCTCTCTCTGCTCAAGGCCACTTGAGCCACAGTACCACTTTGGCTTTTTCTGTTTATGTGGAACTGAGGAATTAAACCCAGGGCTTCATGCATGCTAGGCAAGCACTCTACCACTAAGCCACATTCCCAGCCCAAGATGGCTGTTTTCTGTACATTATGTTAGGAAGTCTTGGAGCTTAGAAGACTGGCAGCTAAAACTCAAAGTGTGGGCTAGTACTGTGAGAATCTCAGCAACATGGGCTAAAACATCATCCTTGTGTGTAGAAACAAAGCAAAGGAAGTAGTCTGCGCTTGCTCGATCTGAAATTTTTAGTGTCAGTAAAAATAAGAAGAGTCTTAAAAGAGATTAAGCTTTCTAACGGGCATTTGAAACAGCCTATCATAACCCTTAGAATAGGGATGACAATGAAAGGTTGTGTTTTCCTTACACACACATTTTACTCTGCAGAAGTGATCTACCAAAGCCTTTCTACCGCCTGTCATCTTTCTCATCCGTTGGCTATTTTAAAGACAGTCCTTTTAATTGCTTTGAGCTATAAGTCGGCTACACTTAGTACAGAGCTACAAGCAATATCAAAGCCTATTTTCATATCACATAAGGAGAACATAAAAACTGATGTAGTGAGTATTTGCTTGCGTGGTTGTTTTCTGAATATGTGGTGTAGGGAGAAGAAGGCATAGTAGGTGGTCAACAGCCCTGAGTTTGGTGTTTGGAGGGAGATGGGACATGATGAAGGTTTCTTTGACTTTGTGAAGTGGGTAAAATACCTGGCCTTCCCAGCTCACAGTGTAGTTCCTGAGTCAGAGGGTTCATGCTGCGGAAAAGGCAACCGGAGTGTGAGTGGAATCTCCGTTCAGGAGCTTAGCTTTGCCACTTACCCAGGAGCCTCTGTGGTGTCACCTACAACAAAACAGGAGTGTGAATCCTGAGCAGGGCTATTGTGAACATTAAACAGAACCTTCACTGTGAGATAAGCCTGACCGGCAACAGGAAAAGGATTCTCTGTGTTGCCAGTGATTAGAAGTACAAGGTGCATGTGGTAGGTGATTATTCCCACTTCTGGTGGGAACATCCATAACCAGAAATAATGGTTCTGTATTGCTGGAACTTTCCCTGGCACGCAGGATCTTCAAGGAGAGGCTCCTTATCATTTGCTTCACCTGAAGATCGCTGCAGAGAAGAACAGGTTCTCGGCGTCCCTCGAGGAGTGCAGAACTGAACTGGAGAGAGAGGCCAGGCATGCATCCCAGGAAGGCAGCGAAAAGACCATCGAAGAGCACAGGGTACGTCTCCCATGGGTACCGGCTGCATAACCATGCACAGATGCATAACAATTTAATGGGTATAATTGGGCTTGAAAAGAAAAAAGTAGCTTCCTGACTGTAGATGGCGCTCTGTGGTGATCTTCCTTTAGTTCTACGGCAATGCAAAGATGCCCTGTGACTCCCCGCTGGCCTTATAAAAACATGTATTGCTCACTAGATTTTCTTCAGCGACAAAGGTCCTCATCATCTCTGTGAGAAGAGGTTGCAGCTCATCGAGGAGCTCTGCGGGAAACTCCCCGTGAGGGACCCCATGAGGGATACCCCCGGAACCTGCCACGTGGCGCTCAAGGAGCTCCGTGCTGCCATCGGCAGCACCTACGAGAAGCTGGTGGAAGACCCCGACAAGTGGGAGGACTACATGAGCAGGTAGGAACCGGCTGTCTCCAGAGAACCACTTAGTCTCTCTGGAGGATCTCTGTTCATGCAGAGATCATTACTCTTCTTCAGAAAGAAAAGAAATGATGAATATTTCATGTCACATGAGAAAGAAAATCAGATTGCCTATCTTGCCCCAGGCTCTTGTACAAAAAAATTGCTTCACTCGTTTAGATGAAGAGGTTTCCGTCAGAAGCAGAATGAGGGCTCCTATTTCCAATTAACGCAGGTGTTCCGTCTTTGGGGAACGCCGCAAATCCTTTCCTCCTTGGTGTTCCCCATGCAGAGGGACTTCTGCACGTGGGCTCATTGTCTCACCCTAGTGGGGACAGGTGAGTCCAGGTCTCAGGTGTTTCTTCCTTCCTCCAGGTGCTCAGGAGGCTTTGAGACACAGCTTTGTCCTGACCTTGAGCTCTTCCAACTTTTGGAGCTCATGGGGGGTCCCCACCCCTGTCCAGATCTTTTTCTTTTTTGGTTGTGGGGCTGAACTCTGGGCCTGGGCACTGTCCCTCTGCTCTTCAGCTCAAGGCTAGTGCCCTACCACTTGAGCCATGGTACCACTTCTGGCTTTTTCCGCTTGTGTGGTGCTGAGGAATCCAACCCAGGGCCTCATGCATGCTAGGCAAGTGCTCTACCACTGAGCCACCTTCCCAGCCCCCTGTCCAGATCTTGATGTTAAAAGTTTTCAGAATGTTTGCTAACTTGTGTGATAGTCAATTGTTTCATTTCTGTCAATGAATTCGCAAGAGAGAACATATTCTCACCCTGTTGATCATTTTCTCCTTTGACTAAGAAGAGGTTTTGTGTTCTTTCAGATTTTCTGAGTTGTCATCTTGGACATCTGCCAGGGAGAGCCAGTTGAAGGGAATCAAGAATCAGGCTATCAACACTGCCAACCACAGCGAGGTCAAGCGTGCCGTGGATGTAAGTTCTGGCCCCTGTTTTTCCAGAGGAAAAATTTCTAGTGAGAAAAATAAATAAATAGTGTTAGACAATGTCCCTAGTGCTTCTCTCTCTCCTTTGGAAACATTCCTGAGGCTTCTGAGCCCTTTCTTAAAGATTGCTGTGGAGAACTGTGGGTTCTTTTCCTATTGAATCTTGGATAGCAAATCAACTTTGATATTTAGCCAGGCTCCGTGGTACCTCTTTGTTCATCGTGAGTGACTGGGCAAATACTGAGCGAAAAATTACTTGCATGGGTGGAGAAACCCATGGAGACTTAAGAATTGTTACAGAAAGCAAGGACATTGAACAATACACTTTTACTCATGCAAATGACAGGACAAAGAAAGAGTGGGAAAGTGGACAAGGTAGAGCCCTTATGAGGTAGAGACAGAGCCTGTCTTCTTGGTCATGTTCAGCCTGGACAGATCCATTTCGTCCCTACTTGGCAAGAATACAGCTACAGAGAAACCCAGCCAGAAAGCCAGGCAGAGCCTCAGGGCTGGACGCAGTTTGGGTTCTGGGAATGGCATGGGGCAGGTCTCTCCCTCTTAACTTGCCCTTTCTATCTATTATGAGTATTCTGCATGTTAAACTCTTGCAAGTCATGTAGTTGTTGCTAAGAAAAATGTGTTTCCTTTCTTTTTCTGCTCTCTGAGTGCTGTTTTTTATTATCTGATTATAATCATGTCACATGCAGGAGGGGCCCACCAGTATCACAGTACAAACACAGCAGAAGAGAGTGTAGAATGCAGACTGCACAATAGTCTATCTATCTATCTATCTATCTATCTATCTATCTATCTATCTATCTATCTATCTATCTATCTATCTATCTATCTCTATCTATATGAAAGCAGGTGGCTTGAGGGGATGGGTGGGTTGGGGGAAAATAGGGGAGAATGCTGAAAGGGGTGATATCGAGCAAGATGCAATGCCCTCAGACTGACTCAGGAATTGAAACCCTACTTAAGGATAATTTAAAAAATAGAATACAGAGGCCATGTGCTTTTGGAACTAGCCATCTCCAGATGATTTGCACTCCACTCCACTGTACTACACTACAGTGCACTGCACTATACTGTATTACACTGTAGTGCTCTGCCCTACACTACACCGCACTGTGCTACACTACAGTATACTGCACTACATGCCAGAGGACTGTACCACACTGTACTGCACTACACTGAGCTGCATTGTACTCCACGACACTGCACTCCAGTGTACTGCACTGTACCACGCTACAGAACACTGCACTGCACTGGACAGCTCCACACTGCACTAAACTACATTGTACTACACAGTACTACGGAGCACTACACTACCCTGCACTGCTGTACGCTACACTGCTGTACGCTACAGAGCAGCCCCAGAGCTGGTGTTGGAGGGATGGGCTGTGCCACTTACCGTGCCTTTGTCACTAATCCTCAAGTCAAAGGCACTGGAGGCTTTACCATGATTTCTTTGGCTGGTAAACATGCCCTACCTCGATTACCCTATTCATGCATCTTAAAATGTAGGGTATGGACTTCTAAAGCTAGCAAAAATGGGGTATTAAATGTGACTTAACTTTAAGTTAAAATGTGATTTGACTTTCAAATGACCCTCTAGTGTAATATTCAACAAGTAAACTCTTCAATAAAGGAAACACCTAACAACCACCACCAGCAAGGCGATCATTTCTCCTTCCAGCTCACAAAGACTCAAAACGCTGTGTGTGGGATTCATAATTCCTAATTTAGCATCTCGTTTTCTGTTTTAGTATTGTTAGAAGCATCTTTGTAGAAACAAGGGAATCTCTGTAAATATCTAACCCATCTACTTGTGAAGGTGAGCTTTCGTTCAGTGTAGACTGAAATGATTTTTGCTCATCAGGTATGGGCACCATTTCTTTCTGGATTTGGTGAGTTTTGCTAAAGACACATGCAAAAAAGCAAAATAAATGAGTACTCTACTGCTCTTTGAATAACTGGTAGTTTTTGTTGTTGTTGTTGTTTTTTAATTGTGAAAATACTGTACAAAGGGGTTACAATTAGATGGGCAAGATAATGAGTACATTTCTTTTTTTGGGGGGGGTCCAGTCGTGGGATCTGAACTCTGGGCCTGGGCGCTGTCCCTTAGCTCTTCATCTCAAGGCTAGCGCTCTACCACTTAAGCCACAGCGCCACTTCTGGCTTTTTTCTTTTTGCTTATGTGGTGCTGAGGAATCGAACCCAAGGCCTCAGGCATGCAAGACAAGCGCTCTACCACTGAGCCACCTTCCCAGCCCATGAGTACATTTCTTATCAAGCATTGTAGCCTCCTCCTTTGTTTCCCCTTCCCATCCCATCCTCCCCCCACCTAAACCTCCTCCCCCCACCCCCCGCCCCCACCAAAGTTGTAAAGTTCGTTTTCGACATAAAGACTTATACGTCTCATTGTTGCAATGGGTCCACCTGTATCCCTATTTAAACGATTTGTTTTTTCCTTTCCCTTCCACAAATTATACCGACATCAAATACAGTGAAAGCAGGGGTTATACCATGGGGGAGGGACATACAAAGCAACAAAGAAATAATCTTATAAATGTGCTAGAAACAATTGCATAAAAGAAAAAAAAAACATTTGAATACATACCTTAGAGTTCATTTCCCTAATATCAACTTATCTGACCTTTTCTGCTTGACTCAGACATATACTAGATATTGCAAATAAGGGAAACCATCGGACCTATGTTTCTGTATTAAGTGAAGTAAGCCCGGCCCAAATAGCTAGTAGTTTTTGTCTCTTCGCAAACCTTCTTGGGTTGAGTTCTTTCTTGCTGGGAAGTCAAGATTTGCAATTGCACTTCATTGTTAATCAAAAATGTTCTTTCACTTCAGGAGATCAGAAATGATGTTAGCAAAAGAGGCGAAGCTCTTAGCTGGCTGAAAGGCAGACTTAAAGTTTTGATTGAAGTTTCTTCTGAGAAGGAAGCCCAAACCCAAGGAGATGAGCTGGCAAAGTTATCTAGCTCCTTCAAGACACTGCTCTCTTTGCTTTCAGAGGTACTTGAATTTCTCACTCTAAGACACTTTGGGGCCAGAAGTCCAGGCAACTGTCTTTGTTTTCCTTGTAGGTTAGTAAGTTGTTTTATAAAGGAAGTGTAGTTGAAACAATAGTTACTTATATGAAGGTAGTTGGGAAAGATAAATGGAGGGTGCATTATGGTGATGCTATTATGGGATGTGTTACTTCAGGTTGATAAGTGGTATCTGAAGTCCAAAACTGACCAGTATACATTTCATTTAATTTAATATATTTTATGGTTTCTTTTACTTACCTTATTTTATTGTATTTTATTTTAATTTTGCTATCCTGTCACAGTTGCTTTAAGGTCCAAAAGGGTAAGAAAAAGGCTTGGAGAGTCAGATAAATGTAGGATCAGAGTTTAAATCCGATACTCAATTTTCTATATAACCTTGAGCTTATTTGATAGTTCTGAGATCTAGCTCTGACATATGTTTATATAGGCATACACATTGACCTTCAACTTGTACCTAATTTGGGTTAGTATACTTTTTTGCTACTTTATCACTAGTGAAAACAAACAGAGTGGAAAAGACAAGCCTTCTGTCTTCTGTTTAAATATAGATTTATATAAGAAGATGGGTTTGGTAGTTATACCTGTCTTTTGCCAATAATCCATTTCATCTCTAAGTTAATGGATTTAAATTGTCCGATGCAACAGCAAAAAAGACTCCAATGTATGTTCACCATCACCATAACAAAAAGTCACTTCTTCCAACAATGCTGCTGACTTTAAGTTAAACAATGAATAAGTTCTGGAGATCTAACACACAATATGGAGATTCTAGTTCATAAGTCAATTTGGCACACTTGAAATTTTCTTTTGAAAAGGTTAGACAGTACTCTTACACACACACACTCACACACACACACAGAGTAAACATGATGTGACCGATAGACTAATTAGCTTGAATAGAGAACTCATTTCATAATGTGTATATGTATGTATATGTATATATATATGTATCTATCAAAACACCACTCACCACACCCCTTACATATGTATATTAAGCTGTCAGTCATACCTCAATTTTTAAAAAGATTTACATAAATCTAAGTAAGTCACATCTGGTTTACACTTTTTTTTTCATGAAACCCTAGGTTGAAAAGATATTAAACAACTTTGGAGACTGTGTTCAATACAAAGAAATCGTGAAGAGCTCCCTGGAGGAATTAATTTCTGGTAGTCAAGAAGTCCAGGAAGAAGCAGAGAAGATTCTGGACACAGAAAATCTGTTTGAAGCTCAGCAGTTACTGCTTCATCACCAGGTAGAATTCCTTCTTTCCTGCACAGCTTGTGTGTGAACATGGTAGTTGGACAGAAAAAGAGAAAGATAAAGAACGTGTCTGGAATGGGAAGAAGGGATAGAGGGAATGAACTGGTTGAATGGGTCAAAGAACTTGATACTTTATTTTTGTTCTTTCTCTGAAATATTAAATATTTCAGAATATCCTACAAGACAAATTTCCAGACCATCAAAAAGTTCAAAGAATACTGCAGAGGGAAACAAATGATTTGAGCTATGAAAATCTATGTGATAGCCGGGTGCTGGTGGCTCACGCCTATAATCCTAGCTACTCAGGAGGCTGAGATCTGAGGATCACAGTTCAAAGCCAGCAAGGGCAGGAAAGTCTGTAAGACTCTTATCTCCAATAAACCACTAGAAAACTGGAAGCGGTGCTGTGGCTCAAGCGGTAGAGTGCTCACCTTGAGCGGAAGAGCACAGGGACAGCGCCCAGGCCCAGAGTTCAAGCTCCATGACCGACCAAAAAAGAGAAAATCTATATGAAAGTGATTCAACTGGTCTTTCCATAGCAGCCCAGGAAACCACAGAGGAATTGCTTCATAGTTCAGATCACTATTCTCTTGTTATTGAGTTAAAATCTTGAGTTTGCTAATGTTGAACACATTTTAGTTTGTAAAGTTGTAACTTACTTGGAGTACCAGATTTCTGGTACTAGAAGTAATGGAAATCCAGTTTATGTTAGTAATAATGTTTATTTTTATTTTTGGTAGTGGAGAAGTAGCCCAGAGCCTCAAGCATGCCATGCACACACTCTATTGATGAGCTAACCCAGCCCCGGTCCTTGATAACAGATAATTTTAATCAATTTATTTTGCAGTTCTCTGATAGTATACACTAAAATATGCCTATAAATGGGATATATTGCTTCACAAACTCACTATAAAGGGAAATACTGAGTGACAAAATTCTAGCCCACTTGATAGCACAATCCTAGCTAATTTGAAGTATCACATAGAAAAGTGCAAGTTGCTTTAACCGTATGTGTAGATTAGCAGCCTCTAGATTTAAAATTTATTTAATATTAGAAAAAAGATCATGAGCTCAAAAATAAATGTTTGAGACACTATTGTTTACAGTCATTTGGAAAATTATTAGTTTTCAGTTTAAGACAAAGAAATATATGTGTCTAGATATTTATATTTTAAAATTATTTGCATATTTCTCGGACCAAATACCTGTATATATATATATATATGCATACTTTATGAAGATTCATAACTGTGCCATGATTTTATACTTCAGTAAAAAATATTTTCTTTGAGACAGTTTCCCTCATAATATCTCAGCATATTAACCATTCTAGATAAACCTAGGAAGAAATAAAATTCTCTTAATATTTGCATTTTGTAATCTAGATGATGAAACGAGAGTCTTCAGCAGAAAATAATTATTTTGGAAGGACTCAGGTCAAAGGAATTTTGTTCCCACATTCTTTATGGAGAATTAAACGTTTTTCTCAAAGCTTCACGCAGCTAAAACACTCAAGACCAATTATTGCCATTATTTAGAAACATGTTACAAATAATGCCCACCTTTGAGCTAGTGCAGATTCCTCCTTGTTGCTGTTTTGACTGCCAGGTGCAACCTTAACACACAGTCCAGGCCCACGCTGCGTGAGGTGGTACCTCCTCTACTTCTGTCTGTGTGGGTGCACGCGGTCCCGCTTAGCTGCAGGGGGAGTAACCTTGATTCTCATCTGTTAAACAACTTCCAGCAAAAGACAAAGATGGTCTCAGCCAAGAAGAAAGACCTGAAGGAACAGATGGCGCATGCGCTGCAGGGAGCAGGCGGGGTCTCCGAGCCTGGCCAGGAGGAGCTGAAGAAGCTGGAGAGCACCCTGGCCGGCCTGGAGCAGAGCCGGGAGAGGCAGGAGCGCCGCATCCAGGTAGAGCTGGGCCAAGGCTGGCTCAGTGGAGCCTTGGGTGGTGTGGACTTCCTGGTGGGTCTCCTGACCGCAGGAGCAAATTGTTGTGGCATTTGATGCTTCACGTGAGTTACTTCTCTGAGTGATCACATCATCAAGTTTTATGAGGCGGGTGCTTGTGCTTGCCTGAGAAGAGAGAGTATGAAGGCTTGGTCCCTGGGCACCGGGCCGAGATGAGGGGGAAAGCCAGGGTTTCATCCACCCAGGTCTGAATCCAGAAATATGTCATCATTTCATTTCTGCAGGAAGTCAGCCAGCTGCACCTGCAACCTACCTGTATCCCAGAAGTGAGGCTGACATGTTGTAAATAGGTTGTGGAGATTTTGTTGTTCCTACTCTTTTCTCCTTCCCTTCTTTTTTCCCTTTATTATTATTATTTTTGAAGAGATTGGAAGGTGATGTTGTTTTCTTCGTCACTTATCTGTATTTCACTTCATGGCTGATGGAGAAACTACCTGGCGTGCAAGTTCTGTGTCGACAGGAAATTCGCAGAGAGGAGACAAGGATTGTTCTAGTCTGTGTGAATGATGTTCACAGTTTAGGAAATAAATGAAACCGTGGCAGTATTTTGTGATACACTTTGCTCATCTGTAATGGTAGGATGTGTTACTTATTTATTTACTTATTTGTTTATTTTCAAATTTAGGTCACCTTAAGGAAATGGGAACGATTTGAGAAAAACAAAGAGACAGTGGTCAGATACCTTTTTCAAACAGGTTCCAGCCATGAACGCTTCCTGAGTTTTAGCAGTTTGGAAAGTTTGTCTTCAGAACTGGAACAGACAAAGGTATATTAACAAAACCCCTCTAGACAGGGGGAGAAAACACACATACTATGTCTTCTTTGCTTTGTTTCATTATTTCATTCATTGAATCCATCTCATTTTTTATTGATGACAGACTCTTTTCAATACACTGGGAAGTAAATGTCATGACTTAACATCTCAAGAACTAAGATAAATGTTCTTCAAAATAGTAGGAAGTGGTTAGCTTCATAACAGTGGCAGAAATTAAAAATATATAGATATAAATATATATATGTATATCTGGAGGGTGGGTAAAACTAAGAAAGAAGAATCTGAAAGCAAGAACAAACAGGCATTCCTGGAAAGGGGAATGGAATGGAGGTATCGAAGTGTGAGCCATGAGGATTGTGTGTCTTAAGGCAGAGCAAATGAATGTGAACTGGTGTGGAAGGGTGGGCGACACTGTGGACTCTGAAGATCTAACCTCCACTCTCAGGCAGCATGGAGTTGGAGCCACTGAACTTTTAAGAATTTTAAGAGAAGAGTCACACCACTAGACACCTTTCTTCCTTTCTTTCTTCTTTTTCTTTCTTTCTTTCCTTCTTTCTTTCTCTCTCTCTCTTTCTTTCTTTGTTTCTTTCTCTCTTTCCTCCCTCCTTCCCTCCCTCTCTCCCTCCCTTCTCTCCTTCTCTTTTCTCCTTCCTTCCTTCCTTCCTTCCTTCCTTCCTTCCTTCCTTCCTTTCTTCCTTCCTTCCTTCCTTCCTTCCTTCCTTTCTTCTTCTTTTTTTTTGTCAGTCCTGGAGCTTGAACTCTGGGCCTGGGAGCTGTCCCTCAGCTCTTCAGCTCAAGGCAAGCACTCTACCACTTGAACCACAGAGCCACCTCTGGTTTTCTGGTGGTTTATTGGAGATAAGAGTCTCATGGACTTCCCTGCCCAGGCTGGCTTTGAACTACAATCCTCAGATCTCAGTTTTGTGTAGCTAGAATTACAGGCATGAGCCACTGGCACCCAGCAAGGAGATAAATTTCTAAGCAGATGGGATTCAACTAGCAAGTTCTGACCACTAGGCATACAGGGAGTTAAATAAGGGTGGGAGGTGGTAGTCAAGGCTGGGGGACCAGAGCACAAGATGGAGTGCTGATGACACTAAGCTAGGCCAACAAAACAGAATTTTGAGGCTGACCAAGATAATGAGGCTAAGAGTAGCTTGGAGGGTGTTGCTGTGGAAAGATGGTGAGAATCACTTCACTCACAGTGAGTTTGAGATTCTAGTGGGGCATCAGAGACTGTGTGAGTAATGCCCTTGATGTGCTCTACCTGTGAACTCATACACACTGGACACTCAGTGCTGGCCAGGAAATTGGTGTGGAGCATTTAGGGGAGATGCTCGGGCCTTTTGTGTAAAAGGCTCAGGCTTTTGTACCTGTTGCAGGTGGGGGTGGTTAAAAGACTGGATTTATAGAGAAAAGCATCTGTCAATGTACAAGAAAGAACCTTGTTTCCGGGCTTTTATTGTGGAACTCCCTCTGTAGAAAGTGGGCCTGGCTGTCTCTTATATGGCTGAGTTTTGTTATTTCTTTGATTATGGTGGACTGAAGGTCTTAATCAAGTTTGAACTCAATACTCAAGGTCATTGAGAAAGAACAGGCCAGAGCTGAGTCACCTCCTATCGATCTGATGAGATTCAGTTCCTTCCCCATGCATTCTGCCTCTCATGAGTTGTCTGCTTAGGCTCTAGCCATGAGGCCTTGCAAGGTTATTTTGTCCTCCTTAATTGTGTGTTGATGAGCAGCATTCCACTATTTGGATTCCTCTGTGTTGTTTCCCCTACGTAGCTCACAGAAGCATTTGCCAACATTTTTTTCTCCGTGTTCTGGGTTTTGGGACACATTGTGGGTGGAGTGGGGACACTGTTTTATACTGGTGGTGGTATTCACGGAACTCTGAAGGGAGTACAATGTATGCACACTTCACAGTTGAATAGGCAGACTCTTAAGTTCACATCTGATAATCACCAGTGCTTTTAAGCACAGAGTTGAGTGTTAGGACATTGTCATATTTTAGGATGCTGTCAATCTCTTGGATAAGAAGCTGTGTGTAGGCTACATAAGTAACACTGATATTTCTATGACCATATTAAATCTTTCAGTCAGGAAATTTCTGCTTTAATTTTTGTCTTTTGGGAGGTGCTCTGACTGAAAAACATTTACAAATATTTACGTTAGAGTTCTGGGTTAGCTGTTTAGAAGTGGGATGTTCATCAAAATTTAAACTTCTTGTGAGATTTTCTTTTATTGGAAACAAGACAGTAATCTTTTTATTCAAGATTATCACTGTATGTATCTTTTCTTGTCTTGTAGTCAACATTATTTACCTGACAAAAGTCAAATTACATCTGAATTGTACAATGTATCATGCAAATTAAATTAACTTTTGAATTAAAATAGCTCAGAATTGTTGAAAATCGGTGACTAGAATGACTAAAACCATTTCCCTCAATTTTATATAAAGGACACAAAAAGGATAATTGGTACCTGACAGGTGTAAGGCACTTAGAAATGAATTTGCTAGCAGAATGCTAAGAGTAGAATGCTAAGATAAACATTGTCATCTGAATTTTGCAAGGAAAGGACTTGAAAGGAAAGTTACCAAAATGGAACATACAGTGACTAGCAGAGCCAGAATTCTAGCCCAGGATGACTTGTTCCAAATTCACTTTTTTTCAATTATGGAATATGCATACAAAAAAATATAAGACGTAATAGCATTAACAGTAGATTATATCTCTTTATCAAACTAAGTCAACTAAGTCTTTTCAAGATCACTGACTTGGTTAAAGGGATGTTCTTCAAGTAAATAAGCGTAGAAATAAGTTAGTGTTATGATCAAAGAACTATTCACTATTGACCATTTCATGAACTGACCTGTAATAAATAAAAGCATTTGTGTATACGTTAGTTATTAGAATGTAGATCAGAATCTTTAAGTGTTCAGCCCCGATAAGAAGCAGTGAAGAAACTAAGAATTTCCAGTGACTAGGAAATAGAGCGGGTTCTGTTTATAAAATAAAAACTATCCAGTTCAGCCAGACAAAAGTAGTATCACTGTGTAGAATAGTACCCATCTACACATGTATGGCTTTATCTAGTCATTGATCTTTTCTGGAGGACATGATGCCCTCACCAGAGGTCAGAGTGACTGCGTACTGCACATGCACCTAACAGTTGTGATACCTTTTCTCTCAGGAATTTTCCAAGCGAACAGGAAGTATTGCAGTCCAGGCTAAGAACCTGGTCAAGGAAGCCTCTGAGATTCCCCTGGGTCCCAAGAATAAGCAGCTGCTTCGGCAACAGGCAACGACAATCGAAGAGCAGGTCAAAAAACTAGAAGACACACTCGAAGAAGAGTATGTGCTCCACAAGTCCTAAGCTTTCTTCTCTGAGATAAAATGTTAATTCCGCCTTTCCTGCATCCTGTATTCAAAACAGTATTTTAAAACTTCAAAGTGTCTGTATACTTCAACATGTTTTGAGGAAGTCACTCAATTCTCAACACAGGAACCCATATCTATAACAGAAAAAGGAGAGGGCGGGGTGTGGTGTGGTGTTTGCATCTTTAACTGACCGTGTTCATGAGATAGCCATAATCTATTTAATTCTGTGGCCTTTACAGAGGGACTCTGAAAAGAATCCCAATATTGAATGTTTTTGGCTGTACTATTCTGCTGTCAGCAGTTAGAAAGGAGAGATATTTTGACAGTACAGATTCTAGACCTAAGTACACATCACATAGACCAACTGTCTCCAAATCAAAGCTCATGAGCTTATGGATAGTGCCTCAGTATTCCAGTTGTGACCAGTTGATATTTTATTTCCAGAAATTAATTTTAAGGATCTGTCTTGGACCTGAATACAGTGGTTTATACCTGTTTATACAGCTACTAGGAGATCAAGATATGGAGGATCATAGTTCTAGACCAGCCTAGGTAAAAATTCACAAGATCCTATTTTAGCAGAAAAACTTGGCATTCCAGCTATGTGAGAAGATTTAATAGGAGGATTGCGGTCTAGGCTGGTCCAGAAAAAAACCAGGGCCCTATCTCAAAATAACAAGAGAAAAAAGGGCTAGAGATGTGGCTCAAGTGGCAAAGCACCTGCCTACCAATTGCAAGACTCTGAATTCAGATCTGAATTCAGATCCTGACACAGCCATATATACACATTTTTGTTTTGTTTTGTTTTCTGGTGCCATTACAGGGGCTTGAACTCAGGGCCTGGACACTGTCGCTAGCCTGTTTTGCACAAGGATAGCACCTTATCAGTTGGAACCACATTCCATTTCTGGCTTTTTGGTACTTAATTGGGGATAAGAATCTCACAGACTTTCTTGCTTAGGCTGGCTTTGAACCATGGTCCTCAGATCTCAGTCTACTGAGTAGGGTTACAGGCATGAGCCTGTGCCCTGCTAAAACTCTATTTTTTTATACACTTAATTTTTTATCTTAAAAGCAGAAGTAACTTACTGATAACCAGTTACATGGACATTTATGAGGCCAATATTCTTCAAAATAAATATGGCTAAAATTTCTATTTAGTGACAGATCAAACACAGAGCTTACTATTCTTAAGAAATAAAATATCATTTCTGAGATGGATTTGAAAATGTCAAATCTGTTTTTAATACTGCTAACACCTGGCAGTTAACATTTGACATTTACCTCAACTTTAAAATTTGTTATTTAAAATACATTATTTACAAAGTTGTGAACTTTGAGAACTTTATTTTAAATATTCTCCCCAATTTATGGAAATAACAAAACTTAGAGTCTATTAGAAAGGAAGCTAGTTCTACTAATAATACCCACTTGAATCTTCATTTTACTTAAAAACTTGCAATCTAGGGGCTGGAAAGTGGCTCAGTGGTAGAGTGCTTGCCTCACATGCATGAGACCCTGGGATCAATTCCTCATCGCCACATAAACAGAAAAAGCCTTGGAAGTAGCACTGTGGTTCAAGTGGTAGAGCACTATAGCCTTGAGCTGAAGAGCTGAGGGACAGTGTCCAGGCCCAGAGTTCGACCAACAACAAAAAAAAAGAAAAAGAAAAACTTTCAATATAGCGTAACTTACATTTCATATACTACTAAGAGCATTGAGCATGGTGGGTATAAAATGGAAATGGAAATACTTTGATAATTTGACAATCAATTTGTGCCATAATGCACAAATTCAACGTCTTCAAGTGCCTTTTGGTAAACAGGGACATTATCTTAACACAGGCCCTTATCATTTAAACAATATACTGTTAGTTCCTTGGTCTTTTTTTTTAACTGAAAGCCATATTCAGCTGCTTACATATATAACTAACACAAACTGAGAATCTATTGTTGAAATTTTATTTACTGAATTTGTGACACAAAGTCCAAGTTGTCTCAAAGCAGGGTGCTCATGAAACAAGAGTTGGTAGCTTCTTTAAGTATCAAGACCGTAGGACATCCATGAATGGCTGGAAGCAATATAGATTATAACTCAATGCCTAGCTGTAGATAGAAACAGTTCCACCTGCAGCAATTCCTACCACCAGTCCCCTCTTCATTCGTAAAGATGCACTTGAGAAAAACCATTCCTCTTTTACAGATGTTTTCACAAAGCATCTGTCCTTTATGAGCAGAAGGGGTGTGTTGATGACACAGGACTTATTAAAAAGCTGGAGTGTATTCTGACATGGTCTATTGAAATAAGTCCTGCTGGTCATGTGCAGGGATTAATTAGCTCATACTGATTCCAACTGCTCTGGACCAAGTGTAATTTTGCCTTTGTCAAGTGCTCATTCAGTAGCATTTGGAAGACCTGAGTTTGACAAGCTGCTCTGATCAAGTGTGTGTTTTGCTTTCTGTGCACATTGTTCCAACCTTGAAAGAATCCCACCTGTCCTTACTCTCTTTTCACCTGGTGGTTTAAGGGGGAAAATGTGTTGCTGTTCACTATGACAATCCTGCATTCTTAACTTCATTTGGTTAATTTTAGTATTAAAACCATGGAAATGGTGAAAAGCAAGTGGGATCATTTTGGCAGTAATTTTGAGACCTTGTCCATCTGGATATCTGAGAAAGAACACGAACTCAATGCTTTGGAATCCTGGCCATCGCCCATGGACATGCAAATCAGCCACATTAAGGTGACCTGCTCACACGTTACATTTCAATCTGTGTCTAGCTTTTAAGGACTCCTTTCCTCCATTTGTATCATCATATTTGGTTCCCAGGTTGGTGGGTGGGGGGAGTCTTTCATTGCTATGTAGCTCTATGAAAAATAAATTTTCACAAAATACCAAGCTAAGAGGCCTTGACTGATACCGGGTAACTCTTTAGAGATGGAATTCTGTATTAATAGTGTCTTGATTTACACACTGCCAGTCAATGTTGTGTGCAATATCATTAAAATATTTTCTGGTTGCATTATTCTTTTCCTTGATTTTGAATTCACCCCCCCCATGGAATACTCTTTTGATTAATTTATACAACATAAAATACATTCATCAGTTACCGTTGTTTATAAGAACCATTCCAAATGCGTGCTTGAGTGTTAGTAGTGAGCCCCTTGCCAACCACCAAGAAGAGCTTGAAAATTGGGTTTCTGGTGAAGCCATCAGACTCAGCTCTTTTGTTTCCATGGGTGATCTTGGGGCCTGTGCAGAGATATTCTGATCTGGTAACTTGCGAAGCTCCAACACAACCTACGGAGAGGGTTTAAGAGGGTTTAACAGGGTGGGAAAGAATTGAACTTGGAGTGTCTGTATTGTTCTTTCTTGGAAACAATTCCTACCACATGTTTTCAGATTTTTCGCCATTCGGGTTTTGTTTTGTTTAATTCCCTAGCTGGGCTCCTTCCTCATTTATTTTTGGAAGAAGGAAACCCTTTGCCATTTAATTCTATTAAATATCATAAATCACAAGGTAAGGAGACATTTAACATGATGACTCAGAATTTCTAAGTGGGGTAGGAGGGCGCAGTGTTGCATAGCTCGTTATGTACTGTGCAGATTGGTCCTCAGGTTCATCATCCGTCTTGTGCAATCAGGCAGCAGAAGGTGGGTTGTACCAGCCTGCTCATCTCCAGTGGTGTGTGAGGAGAAACAGGCCAAACTCCTAAGGAACGGTTGTGGAAAAGTTTTAATCTCTAGATCTTTGAGGGAAGAATTTTAACTGGTCTTTTAATTGTTTTCATTAAATTCTAAGAAACAGAAGATATTTAGAAATAGAATAGGAAAAAAGAAAGAAATCCAAGGAAATAACTCCATAGTGTTGTCTCAAAGTATTATTTCAAAAACTAACCGATGCTTTTAAAAATAGTTAGCCTATGCTTTTAAAAATAATCAACTTATGCTTTTCAGAGATTCACTTAATGTTAGTTTAAGCTTTATTCCAAAGCATCTAAAATAGAACAGTGACCAAACATCATATCATTGCTATTCTTCAGGAAAATTATGATGGTGTATTAGATTGCTAAATACATAGATACTCAACTATGGATTTTTTTGCCATCAGATTGTAAATACATTTTAATATGTCCAAAATGACATTGTTGAAAATGATACAAAATATATGAAGTGAATAAGAGTATCAAGAAAAAGCTATACATAATTATAATGATTGAATACATAATAATACATGATTGAATAAGTGTCAATGGAATTTGGCCTAATAAATTCATGTTTACTTTGTAAACCCAAAACTGCACTATAGGAAACATGAAAAATATGGAAGCATGAAAAGTCTGCTTATCCTAAATCAATTTTAGGATTAAAATTAATGAAGTATTGGCATTGCTGAAAAAATATCGTAAAGCTATCTGCATTTATCATGACATGCCATTCCAAATCATTATTGACCAATGAGAAGAGCGTAAGCTAGACTTACCCTCAAGCATCTTTTTCTCTTGGATAGAATTTTTTTGTGACCACCATCTAACAGGATGACTGTACGGTTTGTACTTATGAGTTTCTGGACAGCATGTATTAGTCTACAAGCTAAGAGTATTGTTCTTAACTAATATTATTTCACTGGCATGTCATAAGCATTTAGGATAATTATTAGTGTGTAGTAGACCACATATACTTATTGAACTTGTAATTATTCTGAAAAATACAATAAATTCCAAAGATGAAAGATTGTACTAGCATTCAGATAACACATACCTATCCGTTACATTACGATAGCCTTCCACAGGAAAAGTTAAATTAAATACATGACAAATACTCTGATGCAACTTGTTTCTCACTACACAGGAGTCCTAAGTATAGTTTTCCCAAGATAACAGGATTATATATTTAACTGCTTGACATCAAAAGTTGATAAGAATTTTGGGGCATCGGTTTGGCCAAATCTTATACAAAACATCTCCTAATTTTAAGAGATTATTCCACCCACTGCTAAACACACACATAGATGCTTCATAGCCATTGGTGCTTCTCATAAATTGGCTAATAAGAGGCTCTAATATAGAGGCTCTGCCTCTATTTTAAAATGAGGGGATACAGGCTTTTCCTGGAGAGTTGATGTCCAAGGAAAAAATCCATGACTTTCTCCCAGATCAGCAACATCCATATCCCTTGGGATTTGGGCAGATACAACCAGTCCCACCTTAGACATAATCCCTGAGCCCGGGGTATCAGGTCTGTCTGTTTGGAAGCCCTAGGCACAAAGAACATACAGCAAATTTAAAAAGATGGACAATATTAGTATTTTTGTGGGTTCCTGGAACATACATGGCTCTTCCAGGGCAGATGGTGAAAACATTCACTGATAAGGAAAGATCTGCTTAGATCTCTGTGTCGAGAAAGGCAGGGACACCTTTTTGCTTCTTCTACCACAATGCAGCCTTCATCACGTCACATTCTGTGATGTCTGCATGCCTCTCCTTCCCCGGGAAAGGCATTTGCACGGTGTGTGTAACTGCTTTACACCCACCCAAGGATATTTAGATGGCAGTTAAGAAAGTTCTCCTGATTGTTTTTCTTTTCCCCCTTTGCGCAGATAATCGTGTTTGTCTTTTCAGGAAAGCCAGCTTGCTCATCCCACTTTTTGTTTTTGTTTGTTTTAAATATTTAGGACATGATTCAGGAAATAGAAAATAAGATCTGCAGCATTACAGGGTTGGAAGAAGAGGTGCAGACTTTTGTCCAGTTTATTACCGCTGGAGAATCTGCTCGAATCAAAGCCAAGTTGACACAGATAAGGAGGCACTGGGAAGAACTCAGAGAGCATGCCCAGTGCCTGGCAGGGACCATCCAGGGGCATTTATCACAGCAGCAGAAGTTCGAAGAGAATCGGAGAAAGGTGAGAATTGGCCTGTGCAATGCCAGCTTTACATAGCTCACCCTGTGCCTAGAAAGAATGCAGTAGGAAGTGATCCACAAAGAGTGAAATAGTGAAAAGACCGTTTGCCACTCATCTACCCAGTTGTTAATAATAGATTATGTTCAGGTTGGGTCCATTTGTGTTCTTAGGCATTTTGAGGTATTCCTTAAAAATAATCTTTAAGTAGTTGTACAAAATGGTTGCCACTTAACAAATCAGTTTATGAATACACTATGCCTTGATCAATATCACCCTTTCAAGATTCTCACCCATCCATCGCTTCCCCCACCCACCCCTTCCCTCATTCTTCTTAATTTTGTAGGATGTATATTGGATTCTTGACTTCAGTTTCTTCCTCTTCTCATCTTTATTCATCTATCACTTTCCCTTGACCCCCACCCCCACCTTTTTCGAGTAGCTGGTCCCTGGTGTTTTATTTTGCTTTACTTTGTCTTTGTCCAAAAAAATCACACAATTTGAGTTCTCCCATGAATCTGCTGTATTTCAGTATACATCTGTAGACACTTGCATACCACCCACAGGCTGAGTGTTAGTGACAATTTTCCTTTCAAATAATGGTACCGATCGGATTTAATTTTAAAATGCATTTTATCATCACATTGAAAGTTACCCATGAAAAGCAGGTATATTGGATTTTTGCCTTGATGTGAATTTTCATATGATTGAATATCTTGATTCCTTCAGATCCAGCAATCTGTGACTGAGTTTGATGAGAGACTTGCTGAGCCAATTAAAATATGTTCTTCAGCCACAGAAACATACAAAGTTCTCCAAGAACAGATGGTAAGTGTGTGCATCAACATTTCTGTTTATTTATCCCCTCAAAAATTGGGTAACTCCTACTTGAAAAGGAAGCAGAGTGAATCATTTTAGACACGTAGAAATTGGAGATATTTATGATGTTTGTTGAAGAAATGTGTGGATCAGATGTACTCACATCATGTAACATATGTAACACAGGAAGTGAGTATATGTTATATTTGTATATAAGCTTTTTGTGTGTTCCAATATGGGGGCTTGAACTCAGGGTGTTGTATTTTCAATTTTTCCATTCAAAGCTGGCACTCAACCACCTGATACACCTAGACGTCCAGTATTTTAGTGGTCAATTGGATGAAAGAGCCTCTCAGATTTGTCTGTTTGGGCTGGTTTTGAACTCAAATCTCAGCCTCCTGAGTATCTAGGATTACAGATGTGAGCCATTGATGTCTAGCTACAAATAAACTTGTTATAAATATGTGGTAAAGGGGCATAACATAATTTTCTCTTTTTATTTATTAGAACATGTGATATTTTTAGTTTATAGCTCTAATACATTTTGTCACTTCCTGCCCACATCATAAATAACACAATGTGCAAAAAGAGAGAGTAAGGATGGGGCAGATTTTACATGTTAATCCATTGCCTTCCCAGATGCAGTTAGCCTATCATCACTGACCTGTTTTCTGTCTGGACTCTGAGTGGGCAGTTACTGCCAGGCTTTGCCAAGACAAGCATTTAGCTCTTTCAGGCTGGGAGGAAGAGCCAAAAGGGAGAATCATGCTGGGTATTGGTGGCTCATGTCTGCAAGCCTAGCTACTTGGTAGGCTGACATCTGGGGATGTGGTTTCAAGCCATCCCAGGCAGGAAACTGAGAGTTCATGAGACTTTTATCTCCCATTAACCACTGAAAAGCTGAAAGGGGAGCTATGGCTCAAGTGATAGAGCGGCAGCCTTAAGCAGTAAAGCTAAGAGACATTGCTCAAACCCCAAGAGCAAACCCTGGTGCTGGCACAAAGAAAAGGAGAATCATACACAGAAAAACTAAAGAGAAACATGTTAAATAACCAAGAGAACCATAAATATTGTCACTATTGCATGTGCATTTGTGCAAAAATGTCCCTTAAGGAGGGAACAGGGCTCCACTGGTAGAAAGCAAAAGATTCATGTTAATGAAAGAATTCTGGTGAAGTCAGTCTCTTTTCTCTGATATTTAGATTACAGAAGAAAATATTTAGAAACAAGTTGTTTTTTTCAGTCTTGATTTTCCCAATCTGTAAAATGAATGCTATTGAAAATGTATCTTGTAAGATTCTTTTGAAGATTGAGCAAGATAACACATGCAATGTGTATAGTAATACGCAAAACATAGTGTCTGCCCTATTCAGAGGCCCATCATTATTGTTAATAAATTCCTGACTCCAGCTACTTCAAAGGGAAATATCCATTCTTTGTGATGGATACATTAGCACATTACACCTGCCATTTGCAACTTAAGAAGAAGATTTTAGACCTGTAATCCTAGCTACTCAGGAGGCTGAGATCTGAGGATCATGGTTCAAAGCCAACCTGGGCAGAAAAGTCTGTGAGAGTCTGATCGCCAATAAACCACTAGAAAACCGGAAGTGGCACTGTGGCTCAAGTGACAGAGTGCTCGCCTTGAGCTGAAGAGCACAGGGACAGCGCCTAGGCCCAGAGTTCAGGCCTCATGACCGACAAAAAAAAAAAAAAAGGGGATTTTAAAATATTCATCTATTTAGTATAAAATGAATCACAGCTTCTACAGATGATCTAATCGATGAGGTTATGCAAAAATATGAGTTTATGAAATGTGAATATGAAGTTACTCAAAAATTTAAAAATTTAAAATTTAAAAATTTTTATTTTATTGTAAGGATGCTGTACAGAGGGGTTAGTTACACGAGTAAGTTAATGAGTACATTTCTTTTGAGCATTGTTACCCCCTCGTTTCCTCTCCCAGCCCATTCTTTTTGGATATGGGCTTGAACTCAGGGCCTGGGTGCTGTTCCTGAGCTTTTTTTCTCAAGGCTAGTACTCGACTACTTTGAGCTACAATGCCACTTCCTTTCTGGCTTTTCTGGTGGTTAATTGGAGATAAGAGTCTCATGGACTTTCCTACCTGGGCTGGCTTCAAACTACATCCTTAGATCTCAGCCTCCTGTGTAGAGAGGATTACAGGCATGAGCCACCAGCACCCAGCCACCCTGAGCTTGCTCAAAGGTATCTGCTTACTACTTAAGCCACAATTCCACTTTTCTTTTTTTGGTAGTTAATTGGAGATAAGAGTCTAGGCTGGTTTGACCTGAGATCCTCAGATCTCAGCCTCCAGAGTAGCTAGGATTACAGGCGTGAGCCACCAGTGCCCAGAAGCACATTCTTAACCAGGGGAAAGTTTCTCTGTCTCACTTCCTCCTTTCTGTCTCTGTGTCTTTACAACACATCACGGCACAAATATCTGTTGCTACCATTGCTGCTTGTTATGATGTCTGAGGGAAAATATTTTATGACAGTGGATCTCAGAGACAAACCAATCTCACCGTTCATCTTGTGCTTTTGTTAAGAGCAGGCTCCCCTCGCCTGGCTTTGCTTTCTGCCAAGTCAGTTATTTGCACTCAACCACAGCTTGACAATATTACCTGCTACCATGAGCCCTGGTTTGTGTTGGCAATCCTAACTACTCAGGAGGCTGAGATCTAAGGATCCCAGTTCAAAGCCAGCCAGGGCAGATAAATCTGAGAGACTCTTATTTCCAAATAATTAGCAAAATAGTGAAACATCAACTAGCCTTCAGTGATAAAGCTAAGAGAGAGCATGAGGCCTAATTTATCCCCCTCCCACACACACACCACATTCATACACATGAAAATTCCAGGAATAACTAATTTGATAATTTGAAATAACTCTGAAATGATTTGAAATAACTGTTACTGTACACAGGATTACAACTGTCCTGTTTTTATACGGTTGTTATTTTTTCTTCCTGTGTCTACTTTGTAAATTCTACTCTACATAAGTGGATATGGGATTTAGTCCTTTTCCAGTTTGAGACACACACAAATCCTATAAACCCGGAGGCAATCCTGTGACCCCGGAGGCAATCCTGTGACCCCGGAGGCAATCCTGTATCCCCCTTGCCCTCTCTATAGGATCTCTGCCAGGCTCTGGAGTCTCTGAGCAGCACAGTCAGCACCTTCTCTGCCAGTGCCCGGAGGATGGTAAACAGTGACTCATGTGTCCAGGAGGCCGCAGCCCTCCAGCAGAGTTATGAGAGCACCCTGAGGAGGGCCAAGGAGAGACAGACCACGCTGGAGGACCTGCTGGCTCACTGGCAGAGGTGAGCAGTGCTCTGTCTCCAGTTATGAGACAGTTGGGGCAAACTGCTTTTTTAAGTGATGACAAATAATTACCCCAGTCGGACAATGAGTGAACTTGTGAATCTACCGTGGGGAGATCATGATCTCCATTTTAACGAAAGAGGGGCAAAGGTTCTTACCTTTTATATCGACAAAAGCAAATCGCAAGTGCACACACAAAAGGGAGCCCAGTTTTGTACCTTAACATCCAAGAATCGACACTGACATTTGTCATGATGGCTGCTGAACCCCTTCTCTGGAAAAGGTGTCATCTTCTTAGGTGACCATTTTGGATGAATCTGTTTATTTTCTCTGCTTTCTTCAGACTGGAGAAGGAGCTGTCATCCTTCTTGACCTGGTTAGAGCGGTGTGAGGCCATAGCCAGTTCCCCAGAGGTGGATATTGCTGCAGACAGAGTCAAAGTGGAGAGTGAACTTCAACTGATACAGGCAAGTTCCAGTAGGGGTGAGGTAGGACCGTGGAAAGCCCCTGATGCTTTGTAAAAATCAGTTAAGGAATTAATGACGTCTCCAACTCACTTAACGTCTTGCTTTGGTTTTGTGTTCCCTGAAGCATAATGTGCTTTCTGTCTTGTGAAGAAAGAACAACTTTGTACATCTGCGGCGTGTTAGAAAATCCTGTAACCACAAGGTAGACGATCCTATAACCACAAGCTAGGCACCTTCCTGTAATCCCAGTCTCGGGAGGTCTGACATTTGAATAAAACTGATCTGGCAGAGGAGATGTGAAAAGGATAAGCAAATCCATGGGTGAAATGGGATTGGCAGTCCCTCAGTCCTGGAAGCTGAAGGAAATACACTTTCTCCACTTTTGTATTAACCAAATTTTGATCCCTAAAAGTATCTTTCTTAAAAAGAAATAAGTCATATACTATAGGAAAAAATCAGCAGCAATTATTACTTTCAAGAAAGATAAAAATACAAGAGCACAAATGTTGATAATAGGAAGACAAGGAGTTTTATTACCTGTTTGAGGAAGCCATTTTTTTTTAACCTAAGAAAAATCTTTTAGGTGTTGTTGAAGCTATGGACAATGTTACTGATTTTGTAGAGATTAGTAACTTGCTTAAAGTGATCCTGTTTTATCAATAGATAAAACTGCTTCTCAGAAGAGATTTATATATCACTCTTTAGAATAGATTGAAGAAGAAGCAAGCTTCTTTTAGCTTAGCACTTTCTAGACAGTTGAGGTCTCTCTAGCATCTTAACCCGATACCCATCTTCAGATTTCCTCCCTGAGAGAGGTCATGCCCTCATCCTCCAGACCTTCTGGTTTGTGAAACGTGGATGCTCAAGTAAAATGAAGAGTGTTTGCAATCCTGTAATCCCACAGCTTGTTGTAATACAGTCTCAAAGGAGCGAGATTCCATATTTCCAGTACCCAGCACTATGTCGCTACTGTTTGATGTGCATTGGTTCTGTTCCACAATTATTGTCCTTTGGTTCCTTTGATGACTCTTTTTCTTCATCCTAACACAGATCCACACTTCCACACTTGCCCAATTTATAACTCAGAAAACTCATTCATGTGCCAAGAATATTTAAACTTTATTAGAAAAATGGTAGTTCCATTGCTAAATCAAGTAGCAAAAAAACCCCTCTCTTTTGCCCAATGGCTTCCATTTTGAAGGAGAGCGAAACCTCTGGACACTGATTGCCCACCTCACATGGCCCTCTGTGGTCAGTGCTGCCAGGCTGAGCTGTGTGCTATGCTGTGCTTTCTCCAGACAATACAGACTGAAGTCGTGTCCCAGGCCTCGTTCTACAGCAGTCTTCTGCAGTTGAAGGAATCCCTGTTCTCAGTAGCTTCCAAAGACGATGTGAAGATGATGAAGCTGAACTTGGAACAGCTCGATGAGAGGTGGAGAGACCTACCACAGATCATCAGCAGAAGGTTGGCTCCAAAACACCTTCTCAAGCTGTTGATGTGTCTTTCCAGGGGGAGCTATGCTCTCAAAGGTGACCTGTGCTTTTAGGAGGTAGAGCTTTGTTAGCTTTTGTTGAGCCCAGCTATCCCGGAGATGATTACAGATAAGAAGAAAATGGTCACGTGTTGAATCAGGGTCCTTCAAGATGATCATTGTGGTAAACTTTAACTCTAAATTTTAGTTTTACCATCAAGTCCAATAATATTGAAGAGAGTAGGCTTGCTAAAGTATTTTTTAAATTACTTGTTGTCCATGAGAGAAAATGGTCTTCAAATGTCACAGGTTGTGTTTTTCCATCAGAGGCATTTTATATCCATCTGCTATTCTACTCCATCCAATGTAGATCTTTAGAGAAGGCAGAAAATTGTTTTTATATTATATGCAGGCAAAAAAATAGATTAAATTTTAATTAACTAGATGACTAATGATTAACATCTCAATCTTCCTAACTAAAACCGGAACAAATTGTCTGTTCAAATTGGCACTAATTAACAATATGATGCTGGGTAAGCATTGAACTTCTCTGGTGATTTTAAAAGTCTGTTCATCCAGCAAATATTTATTGAGTTTCTGAAATAGTGGAGCTCTCTCTGTGTGCGGGGAATTGCTCTCTACTGTGGAGCTTGCATTCCTCCATTGTTTATTCATTTTTCTGTGTAATCAATTAGTAACTATATTTGGGAACTCACTCAGTGCCAGCCACAACAGAAATACAAGAGCCATGAAAATAAGCAAGTCCTGACATCAAGTATTTTACATATCCTTGTAGGGCAATGAGAGAAACAATCACAGTGTTTTAGGAACACGATACACACACACACACACACACACACACACACACACACAATTTGAGTGATTCGGGGAAATACTATTCAAAAGTTAGATACTAGCTCTTGAAAGATGAGGAATTTTGCTTAAACAGAACACACTCTACCCTGTTTCTCTCTCTCTCTCAGAGGTAAAGTCAAGGACATTAATATAGCACAAATATGTAAAGGTGTTCAAAATAAAATTCATGCATATACGGTTAGTGTCAGTTTAAAAAGTGAAGCTCTGGACACAGACCATTGTAATGAATGTTAGTGTCTGATTTAGGTTATTTTTAACATAATTCTAGGATCTTTAGTCATCTATTATACATCATCTCCACTATGTGCTATACAACCATTGACTGATTCTTAGTCAATTCTTTATCAGTCTCCTGGGGTTACAGTAGTTAGCAAAGCAGATACAATCCTTGCTCTTGTGGAGGGTCAGGTGGGCTTAGAAGGGGCAGAGGTAACTATATGAACAACAATTGGGTAAGATTTATGTACTATTACATACCATGAATGAATGAGACTTATGTATGATTACCATAGTATGAAAACAAGAAAATAAGTCACCAAGGCAGGAGCCACAGGTGAAGGCAACTTCAGACTTTGTGTTTAATCAGGCCTCCCTGGGGAGACGGGACCCAATTAAGCCCTGGATGCTGCATAAGAAGCAGAGCCTACACCATGACAGGATGTATAGACAGAGGCAGCAAAAGAGGCAACAGCTGTGAGACAGAAGTGGGAGGGGGAGGAGAGGGGATAGAGCTGTGGCAGATGACACTAGAGGAGCCCACCATGCGGGGTCCCTGGCAGGAAGACGATTGGGAGTTTTGCCTTCCTACATGCGACAGGAAACTGCCAAGATGTTGACCCATGACAGAATCCTCTGGTCCCAAGAAACCATATTGCCCTACCATATCAAGGGTGGATGGTAGTGAGGTAAAGTTAGCGGGAGGCAAGCAGCTTTGGTGGGGGTTGGAGGCCTGGGTGATGGATGAGAGGATTTGCGGGTGTGCACTGGGGTGGGGGTAGTCGGAGAAGAGGGTAAGGAGGGACAGGAAATGCATATGAGAGTGAGACACAGGTAAGACAGACATGGGTCAGGCAGGGTGAGGGGGTACCGGGGGGAAAAGACTGACCCCCAGAACTGTGGAGTGCATGGGAAAGCAGCATGTCAGAGTTTGGAAACATCCAGCAGTGGGGCCTGTTTACCTGTGGCAACATCGCTTTTGCCCTGGGGTAAACTTTATTCTCCTCATAGATCGCTGGCCCTTTCTTTCCATTCATGGGATGTTTGAACCTTTTCATCTTCTCCTGTAGGATTAGCTTTCTTCAGTCCCTGGTTGCCGAGCACCAGCAGTTTGATGAACTGCTGCTCTCCTTCTCCGTCTGGATTAAGATGTTTCTCAGTGAACTGCAGACTACTTCTGAGATCAGCTTAATGGACCATCAGGTGGCTCACACTCGGCATAAGGTAAAGTGTGTCCCGGTACGAACTGAGCTGTGGTTTAATATTGTATGTATTTGAAAGTGGGTTAATCATTGAACATATGGGTCCAGCCAATCGTTATGCAGATCAGTGAAGCAGCTACTCAGAGAACTGGGTATGGTAGTGCATGCCTGTAATCCCACCACTTGGGAGGTTTAAACAGGATGATTGTCAGTTTGAGGTCGGTCTGTGCTCTGTCTGGGATACATAGGGAGATGTTGCTTTTAAAACAACATCCAAAACCCTCCGGGTAAAGTAGTTAGTTAACCACCATAAGAAACTTATTTCCTCATAATAAAGGAAATTATTTCTGATGTTAAATGATAAGAATGCCCATTTTAAGCTTTTCAAGTTGATTTTGACCCAATCCTGTGAATTAATACAAATCCCAAGGGCTCGTTTTCATTATTTGTAGATTACACATAGAGTCCTCTTAAAAATTACTTTAAATGATCTTTAGGTAGTTGCATCTAGGTGTTGCGATTCAGCAAAGCAGTTTCAGCACGCACCTTGACATCCAACAGCCCAGGGTCCCTCTGTGTCATTAAAAGGCAGCAGTAACTGTCTTCTCTTTCAGGACCATGTGGCAGAAATCCAGAACAAAAAGGGAGAGCTTCACTGTCTGCAGGGCCACGTGCAGAAGCTGGGGTCCCTGGGGCGAGCGGAGGATCTCCACCTCCTCCGGGGAAAGGCAGAAGACTGCTTCCAGCTCTTCCAGGAAGCCAGCCAGGTGGTGGAGAGGCGGCAGCATGCCCTGGCCCAGTTGGCTGAATTCCTTCAGAGCCATAATTCACTGTCCAGAGTTCTCCACCGGCTAAGACAAACAGTGGAAGCCACCAGCAGCATGAACAAGAAGCAGTCGGACTTATTGAAAAAGGACCTAAATGATGCTATCCAAGACGTCAAGACACTGGAATCCACTGCCATCAGCCTTGATGGCGTCCTTGCCAAAGCTCAATACCATCTAAAGAGTGGGAGCCCAGAGCAGAGGACTTCCTGCAGAGCCACGGCCGATCAGCTCTGCTTGGAAGTAGAGAGGATCCAGAACCTCTTGGGGACCAAGCAGAGTGAGGCGGATGCCCTGGCTGTATTGAAAAAAGCATTTCAAGACCAGAAAGAAGAGTTGCTGAAGAGCATTGAAGACATCGAGGAAAGGACAGACAAGGAGCGATTAAAGGAACCCACCCGTCCAGCCCTGCAACAGAGGTATCACAAAATGGGGTGGATTTTCCTTTGCTCTGAGATTAAGCAAAGCTTGAATAGCACCATGTATAGTTACTTCATATATATATATAGATAGATAGATAGATAGATATAGATATACACATATACATATATGTCACTCCTTTAAGCAGGTTTTTCTCAGGATGGCTTTGTGTACCTCTGGTTCTATCTACATAAAAGCATCTAGGTCTTATTTCCCAGTAAGCAATGTCTTACCAATAGACAAATTCTCTAGCAAAATGCAGGCAAAGACCCAAGTTCTGCTGATAAAAATATTACAGAATCCTCCCTTGGAAAGGATCAAGCACATTGGCTGATAGTAGATGGTGTCATCAGAGGACAGAAATGGGGTGAGAAAGTTCTCTGTGGTGGAAAGGAGCTTAGCAAGGTGACTCTTTCCTAAAACTGTCGCCTCCCTTTCAATCTTTTTTTTCCCTTCAGAGTAGAGTTTCATCCTTTTTCATCTTTTCAGGGCCACTCTGGGGCTCTGGGGACAGAGAAGGAGTCATACAATGCAATCATACAAAGGTGTTCATTATAAGAGTCGTTTTGTCCCTGCCAACACCATTACCACTTGTCCCTTTTTAATCAGAGTAGGATGTGAGCCAAAGCACTAATGAGGTGACCATGGTGTCTGCCCTTGGCTCTAGACCAAGACCCTGAGGTTACCCCCACCTCTCTCCATCCATTCTAAGAAGGAATTGACTACAGAGGTGATTTGGAAAGGAAAGATGGTTCCTTGTGCTGGAGGAGGTCAGGAGCATCACTGATGTTGTAGGGTGGTAGGACTAAAACCACGGCCCCGCCTCGGGTGGCTCAGCACAGGCTGAAGCTGCTAGACAACAAAATCAAGTCTGGGCCTTGTCACTATTCCCAATACTGAACACACCAAGGGCACACAGCAAGAAGCTGGGCCAATCTTGCAATGAATCGGTGGGTTTATTAAATCTCACCCATGCTGAGGCTTCATTGAGTGCCTGTGGGCAAATTGCCTCTGTTGTTGTGAGGAAGGGATCACGCCTAGACCTGACCTGCCCAGGGCCACTTCCTTAGGGGAGTTAAATGGGGATAACACATATGTAGTCCCTTTGCTCGAAAACCATGCCAGAAAGCTAAGAGCTAGCCAGTGGCTGCCTCTCTGTGGCCACTTTTAATAGCTGTTCAAACATTTTTATATTAGGGACAAAAGGCCAGATCATTTTCTTATAGTACCCACTCCAATAAAATATAAATTTAAGAAACTTAAGTTTTAAAAGTAGATGCTTTCCATAAAGCTTAATAAAGGTATTGCAATTTTGGAGGAAACAATCCTAATTGTGAAAGGTAATTATTTGCATGGGATGGATTCATAACTCAGAAATGTTCCTTATGAATGATCATGTTATAAGAACTCATGTACTTAGCCTATAGCATTAGCCTTCCTCTTGAAAGTCTTGAAGCAAAGGAAAAAAGAAGGCAGGCTTTGTAGAAGGTTGAGAGTGAATAGTGACTGTGACTTTCAGTGTTTCAATGTGTACTGAGAGGTAGTCTGAGTCAAGTTTTTAAAATTACCTTGAATCAATTGTTATAATTTTATTTGAGGTTGTAGGTGTTGTTTTTTTTTTGTTGGTTGTGGGAGCTGAACTCTGGGCCTGGGCACTGTCCCTCAGCTCTTCAGCTCAAGGCTAGCACCCTACCACTTGAGCCACAGCCCCATTTCCAGCTTTTTTTCTGCTTATGTGGTACTGAGGAATCGAACCCAGGGCCTTGTGCATGCAAGGCAAGCCCTCTACCACTGAGCCAACTCCCAGCCCCAGTTGTTGGTCTTAAACTCAGGGCTTAGGTGCTGTTCTTGAGCTCTTTTGGTCAGGGCTAGTGCTTTCACTTGAGCCACAGCTCCACTTCAGGTTTTTGAATGGTTAATTAGAGATAAATGTTTCACAGAGACTTTTCTTCCTGGGCTGTCTTCAAACTGTGATCCTCGGATCTCGGCCTCTTGAGTAGCTAGGATTACAAGTGTGAGCCACCAAGCACCTGGTTCAAATCAATTTTTATGTTTTTCTCATTGTCCAGATGTTTGTTTCTAGACTCATATGTTTACAGAAAGGAAATGATAGGTTAATTCCTTTAGGATATTTACACTCAAATCACCTTTTCATTTACAGATTGAGATTATTTAATCAACTGGAAGATGAACTGAATTCTCATGAACATGAGCTGAGCTGGTTAAAAGACAAAGCTAAGCAAATTGCCCAGAAAGATGTAACTTTTGCTCCTGAAGTTGATAAGGAGATCAACCGCTTAGAAGTCACCTGGGATGACACCAAAAAACTCATTCAAGAAAAGTAAGCTGCAATATCCGGGTTGGTTGGAAGACTTGTTACTAATTTTTGTGCCTTTTACTTTTGGATTAAGACAATCAAGAGTTGAATAGCTTTTACCATGAACAGAGAACATTCAAAATTAACTTTACTCATGCCTAATAAATTACTTTTCACAAGGTTACAGAAACAATCTGATGGAGAAAATTTTCTCTTTAATAGAGAAATATTGGAATATTTATATGCATTTAAAACATGTAATTCAAAACACTTCATGTCATGTACATAAAGTGCCTTTGAGACCAAATTGAGATGCTTTACAATATTGACCATTAATGTTGGCCTGTAAAATTCAACCATGTTACACAAACTTTATCAAACCATTTTATGAAACACTTTCTAGTTTGTGATTTCTTTGCTGTTGTTCAGTATACACTAGAGCTTATTCAATTGTTGGTTGATTTCTTGCCTTTATATTATTGCTGTCTTTTCTTTTACTATAAGTAATGAAGTCAACAGTATCATTTCACCTAAATCTTAGTATACACACAATATGGTTTCTGTAGGGAAACAAATGTATGTATAGAATTGCTTGCCTAAAAACAGACACAAGGCCTACTTACTTTGATCATTTACAAGGGATTCATAATAACAAAAAATTCATTATATTGCATTGGAATTCATTACATTGCTCTCACACACACATATATTAATTACTGAACTCTGTCTTATTTCCTTTGTTTTGGTTTTGTCTTGTGGTTGCTTCTTTGCTTGCCTCTATTTATGCTACTTTGAAGTAATTAAATAGCATGGCAAAATAACACTTTATAAAGAAAAATATTTGGGTGACTCATGTAAACATGATTTTGCTGGGAAATGTTTTGGACCTTAGAATTAAGTAGCATGAAACAGATGCATTCTTTTTACCTCAGCAGGGACAAGTGTGGTTTTTCCTCTTGGTTTCAACATCGGTCTATGAATAGTCATGTACCAAGTCCAACTGTGTGGAACTTGTTCTTACACTAACTGCTCTTGTCTTTAATCCTTACAGCCAGAGCCAGTGCTGTGCACTTATTGACTTAATGAGGGAATACCAGAACTTGAAGTCAGCAGTAACTAAAGTCCTAGAGAATGCCAACAGCATCATTGTAGCCAGAACTGTTGTAAAAGATCAGGAAGACCTTCAGTGGGCTTTTTCTAAGGTAAATTTGCAATGTCTTTATGTGTATCGATTAGTGTGCATGTTTTACTTATAGAGTACTTCTCTGTATAATTTTTCTTGTCATACATTTAGATATGGGCTATCTTTGCTAATAGTTCAGCTTTTTAAAAATAGAATTACTGCTACCATCGTATTCCTGTTATTCAAGAAAATGATATCTTTCATATAGATTGACGTACAGATACACATACACACATATAGTTAATTAGCATCATTAATTTCTGCATAAGGTCAACCATGGATTAACTTTCTCAGAGGTAAATGGTGCTATTTAGTATTACTTCATATTATCTTTAAATAGGTGTACAAAGAAGTTTCAGCATATCAGTTTATGAGTATAATGCATCTTGATCCATGTCACCCCTTTGGCTTGAAACTCTACTCACTGATGATTTTATTAATAAAGGAAATATTTATGTTCACAGCATGAAATTGCCAAGAATGAGATGAACTGTAAACAGAAAGAGCTGGACAGTTTTACCAGCAAGGGCAGACACCTGTTATCAGAGCTGAAGAGACTCCACAGTAGTGATGCGACAGTGGTAAAAGCAGACACGGAGAGCACGGTGGACAGGTGGCTGGATGTAAGAGCACCCCCGGGCACCTGTGCACATTCAGTAGCTCAGCTGTCAATCAAGCATCTGGGCTAAGGACTCTCCAGGGATGTGAATTCCATTTTGAACTGTCAACGCTAAGTACAAAATGATATTCTGAAGAAAAATAATATTCATATAAGTTTAGAAATAGTGCAAGAATTATTTGTATTATTTAGGGGTCAGGCCTTGAACTCAGGGCCTGTGTGCTGTCCCTGAGCTATTTTATGCAAAGATAGGACTCTATCACTTGAGCCACAGCTCTACTTCTGGATTTTTGGTGGTTAATTGGAGATAAGAGTCTCATGAACTTTCCTGCCTGACCTGGCTTTGAACCATGATACTCAGATCTCTGCTTCCTGAGTAGCTGGGATTATAGGCATGAACCAGCAGCACCTGGCTACATTATTGTTTTTTTGGGGGGAGGGGTTGGTAGTGGGTCTTGAACTCTGGGTCTGGGCACTGTCCCTCAGCTCTTCAGCTCAAGGCGAGTGCTCTACTGCTTGAGCCCCAGTGCCACTTCCAGCTACATTATTTTGATTAAGCTTATGGACAGATTTTTGGGATTTCACTTAGTAGTTTCAGTTGAAACAGATTACATTTGACTTTTTTTCTTCTCAAAACTCTGGAATACTAAACCTCACATATAAAACTCAGAATACTAAACCTCACATATAACAAGAATTTAAAGAACTAAGGCTATAATTCTGCATAGAAAACACTGAACTTTTATTTATTTTATTTATTTTTTGGGGGGGATCCGGTCGTGGGGCCTGAACTCTGGGCCTGGGAGCTGTCCCTCAGCTCTTCAGCTCAAGGCGAACACTCTACAAGTTGAGCTACAGCGCCACTTCCGGCTTTTTTTTTCTGCTAATGTGGTGCTGAGAAATAGAACTCAGGGCCTCATGCATGCAAGGCAAGTGCTCTACCACTGAGCCACCTTCCCAGCCCCAACACTGAACTTTTAATATATATCTTTGGGCTTTAGTTCTTGAGTGGGGAAGAGAACACTGAGGTTTGACTTCAAAGCCTTATGCTTGCTCAGCTTGACTGCTTGCTCAGTTGGTGCTGTACCACTTGAGCCATGCTCTCCACCTAGCCTCTTGCTACTTGTTTTGAAGATGGTAGCTCTTGTACTTTTCTTCCAAGTCTGGCTTTGAAACTTGATCCACCAGCTTTCATCTTCCCTAGTAGTTATGCGTACAGGTGTGAACGAACCATCAAGGCCCAGCTCAGGGTGTTGGTTCTTGCTCTATCACTTCCCCTTTATATGGCCACATAATGCTTCCCTTGATCTTCCTGGAACTTAATGTATCTATTTCTAATGTGTGTGTGTGTGTGTGTGTGTGTGTGTGTGTGTGTGTGTGTGTGTGCATGTGCATATTTTTAAACCTTACCCTTGAGCTAAAATATCCAGTGATTCTGCTACCTTCATTATCAATATCTAGGTTCCAAAGTTTAACCAATAATGAATTCCTTTACTTAGTAAGCTATAGTAAGCTAAATTTCCTAATTTTCACATTGATATTTGTGCAAATATAAATTTGGGAACTTCAAAAAACTTTGTATACCCTCTTCTAAGATGCTTATTAGAGGAAGAGTTAAAATAACAGTACTTGAAATATGTAAAAGTTGGTTGCTCTCCTGTGTATATTCTTGTGTTACAAATATGCTCAAATCTAGCTCACTTGCTATATAAATAAAAGTGCTCATTGTGCTACTTAGAAAATGTAACTACCTAATGCCTAGGCATGGACCTTAGTCTTGTACAATTCAACTTTATATTGAGTTATATTTTGTGGAGTCTATAGTGATTGTGCTGCCATTAGTACCTCAATTCACAATGAAAATAATAGACCAATGATTCAAACAACTCTCCCAGTAATGGAAACCATCTCTGTATTGGGGTCAGCGTTTATGTGATGAATCAGGCATGCTAGTTAGCTTGCGATAGTTTCTACAAATCTTGTCAGTCAGAAAGTAATTTTCTAGATGGAAAAACCTCAGCAGGTTTTTTGAGAATTGTAAAGCCACCTGCTCTTAGTGACACTTCTGCTTTCGATCCTAGGTGTCAGAGAAAATTGAGGATAATATGGACCGGCTGAGAATAAGTCTGTCCATCTGGAATGATGTACTTGCAAGTAAAGAAGAAATCGATGGATGGTCCAGTAACTCTCTTCCACAACTAGCCGAAAGCATGAGCAACCTGAATGACAGCCTTAAAGTCGAAGAATTCCTTAAAGAATTTGAGGTAATGAAGTACCATTCATCCATTAATCCTAACTGAAGTACCATTAATCCTAACTAGGTAGAGCTAGGAGGATCACAAGTTGAGGCCAGACCAGGCAAGAAATTAGCAAGACCAATCCAAAATGCAAGCCAGGCCACATGCCTATAATCTAAGATGCTTGGAAATAGGCGGATCACAGAGAGAGGCTACACCAGGCAGAAATGCAAGACCCTATATGAAAGGTAAACCAAAGGGTCTGGGAACATAACCAAAGTGGTAGCAAAACCCTGGGTTCACACTCCAGAACTGGTAGAAGAAGAGAGAAGAGGAGGAGGAAGATGAGGCAGAGGAAGAGGATTGCCAAAAAAATGAAATTGTAAATGAATACACGAGAAATGATATTAAAAGCAGAGTTAAGGAATATTTGGAATCTATCATTCTTCATTGAGACTCACACAGCACTCTCCTCTAAGACCCTGGTCACTGATAGCTGTTATGTACATATCGCAGTCAGCAGTTGGAGAGAACTGCGAGCTGCCTGTGTCTTCCAGCCCCCTAGGCAGTGAAGTCGTGCAAATGCTATGGCCTGTTGTCTGGGTAGAAGACGCAGTTGGCAAGCCAGCTTCTTGTTGCTGCCCTCAGCACCCCGGGGAGCCCGGGAGCCTCAGAGCTCATTCAATCCGCCCAGGGTCAGGCCTACAGAGATGCGCTTTTTTGGTTATTGACAGTGACATGGTAGCTAACCCAGTTAGTGCCCAGCAGAGCCCATCCCGATGCAGAGCAAGGGTGAGTGCAGACCCTGGGGTGTGAGCCCATGATCGCTCAGCTGACTTCTGCAGAAGGGCCACGCCACATCTTTCTGCAAAAGCAAATTACTTTCTCTAAGAAGAAAGTGTCGGGCAGCTTGTGTTTCCAAGGCACCAAAATGCCCTTCTTTTAAAATGAAAGAGAACATTTATTAGCTATTTTTTTGTAGCTCCAAACAAATAACCAAGCTTATAAGCATCTTTACTCAATAACGGTCCTTCTGCTGATCTTTCTTCTTTGGTGTGTTGGTGTTTTCGGGGCGGGGGGGGGAAGGGAGGAACAAAAGGTAAAATATGAGAGTTCAGTGTTTCAATGAATTGGATTTCTGCCTCACTATTCTGCAGATTTGCATTTGATATGTTTCTTTTTATCACATACCAAGTACTGTGATTAAGCATTGCGGATATATGTTGTTTGAAACCCTTCTGCAACTGTTTCTGTTGCCGTGGAAATGGAAAAAGTTCCACTAATGAATAAATGACAGCCTATTAGAAATTCCTGCCGACTCAAGGATTTTAGTTGGTTTTCATATTTTCCAAGAGGGTTCCCCCCGCCTAATAAAAGAGTGGAAGAAAGTTCCACGTACCCCTTCTCCATTCCAAATGAGCCTTAATTGTAACATTTTCCGCTCTCATGAATAAAAACAGTTCACAGAAAGTGAAACAGATATTTTTCCCCCTCCCGCTGGCTCAACCTTGGTTTCCTGTTAACTCTGGAAATCATGAAACGCTAGATGGAACTTGCCCGTGTCTTTAATGCATTCTGTGTGGCTACTTTGTCTTCTATCTTGGTAGTGTGAAGTCAAAAACAAAGTCTTGAAACTGGAGGAACTGCATTCCAAAGTTAATGATCTCAAAGAATTAACTAAAAATCCAGAGACACCAACAGAGCTGCAAGTAAGTGGGCAGTCAATTTTGTGCTATCATATATAGTATATATGTGTGTGTGTATTGTGTATATCTATGTATATAGTGTATATATGTGTGTATTATATGTATGTGTACTTATATCTGTGCACACCTTCATCATCATCATCATCATCATCATCATCATCATCATCATCATCATCATCATCATTTCAGACACTTGTGGGCCTTTAAATACCTGGGGGGCTAAAGTAGAAATCCTTATGAGTCTCTCTCTTTCTCTCTCTCTCTCTCTCTCGATCTATCTATCTGTCTATATCTATATCTATATATCTGGATTCATTTCCAACATAATAAGAGTAATTCTTTTCCCCTTACTACATTTTGGGAGCATCATCAGGTGACTTGAGCTCATGGACCATTTTATGTCTAGACATAACTTATGTTATGTGATGAACAGATGTCTCATTGGTGCTTTCCCAATAATTCACTCAATAGCTGGACAGAGGGATAACCCCTACAAACCCTCTCCATGGCCCTTTGATGGCACATATTTCTAGGAACTGTGAGACAGAAACAGACAGGCCAGGGCTACTCAGAAAACTGGGAAAAGTCAGTGCCTCTGTCCTCTAAGCATGAAGTTCAGTAGGGCTCTTGACTATCGGCCCCACAGCCTTCTGACAGAGGGTTCTGCTGTATCTTAAACTCCTATTATTTTGTTGCTCCTGTGGCTTTCCTCTTTTGTCTTCTTTCCCTCTACCTTGTCACTGATCTTTTGCACTGACCTGACTAATGAGCGAGGTGATCAGCCATGCCTCCACTGTTCTCTAAGATATGTGCAAGGTTGTTAGAGGTTCCACCAAAAGCAAGAACCAAACTGTAAAAGACTATTTGTATCTGTCACCTCTACTGTGGGTATTGTTGGGCAAAAGTTCAGACTATTGCAGAGTGAAGGTTGAGACAGAATTTTAGAAACAACCATCTCTCTCCCTCTCTCCTTCCCTCCTCTCTCTCTCCTTTCTTCCCTCCCTCCCTCCCTCCCTCTCTCTCTCTTTCTCTATCTCTCTCTCCCCCCTCTTTCCCTCCCTCCCCATCCCCCCTTCTATCAATATCAAGAAGTGTGGATGCCTGGGTAGATTCCAGATCACTGCAGAAGGATTACATGGTCAGGACTTAGGGAGCAGGAGAAAGATACTTGTCCCCTGTATTGGCAGACACCAGCATCTAGCTTTTCCCCGGATAAGCAAGCAGGACGGCTGGCTTACCTGTATTTCCAAAGGAGAATTGATGTTAGGGTCTCCTGTGTCTCACAGTTAGTTTGGGGTGATTGCTTAGCAGTGAGTCATGACAGAGAGGCCTCAGAACCAGAGGCAAATGTGTTGCAGTCTGAGGAAGGACAAAGCAAAGGGTCAGGAGTTTCTGGGGAACTTCAGCAAGACTACAAGGAGAATCTCAACCAGTACCCACAGACCAAAGCTGGCAAAAGCAGAAATGTGAAAAACAGATTCCTGGCTCTACTCCTGTCCCATGATTCAGAACTGGGATTAGCTACCATCCTTCCTTGCCTTGTCCCGTTACTAGATAGGTTTGGCGACTTGTACTCCCTCATTTCCCTGCCTGGAAAAAGGCGTGTGCCCACTGGGGCTGTTTCCATGGTGAAGTGTGTGTGCTCTTCACAGAGATGCCCATAAACAGAATTCCTGCTGAATGAGCGTGCGGTCTTCCAGATTTTCACGAGATGTTCTCTTCAGTTTATAGAAGCAGACTTACGGCAGAAGCTAGAGCACGCTAAAGAGGCAACTGAGGAAGCCAAAGGGACCTTGAAGGATTTTGTTGTGCAGAGTACGAAGGTGGAGAAGTTCATCAAAGACCTCACCACGTGGCTGGCAAAAGTGGAGGAATTGTTGATGAGCTATGCCCAAACCGAGACTTGCGAGGGGCTGAAGAAAGTCAAGGTAGGTAAAAACTAGCTTTAAGGGACTCCAGTGGACAGTCGTTGGTTCTTCTGCTTTGCAGGTACTATAGTAAAGCTATCACCTCTGCTTTCGCTGACTCACAGTGTAACATGTTGGCACTCAGGTCAACTGGTTCACCATGTTGATACATGGCTTCCTGACAAAGAGTTGTGCTATAGTTCAGGCTGGCATTGAATTTATTCTGTATTTCCAAGCTGACCCTGAACTTGCTTTTCCCCTCCCTCTCTCTTCTAAACACTCTGCTTACAAAGACTATGTGTGAAACCCACCTCCAAATGTTTTTCATCATTTAATCATTTTTATGAGAGGATATTTGCATCTAGAGAATATATATATATATATATATATATATATGTATATTTATTAAAAAGCTGAAAAAGTATTCCACTTCCATGCCATCTGTCCGTATTAGGACATGACATTTCTTGTCAATGGTTAAGGAAGTTTGTTGAATTGGTTCTTTTTTTTTTTTTGGTTGGTCATGGGACTTGAACTCTGGGCCTGGCACTGTCCCTCAGCTCTTCAGCTCAAGGCTAGTGCTCAATCACTTGAGCCACAGTTCTACTTCCAGTTTTCTGGTGGTTAATTGGAGAAAAGAGTCTTATGTACTTTCCTGACTAGGCTGGCTTTGAACTGAGATCCTCAGATCTCAGCCTCCTGAGCAGCTAGGAGTATAAGCTTGAGCCATGGACACCTTGCTGGGTTCTTTTTTTTTTTTTTGACATCGTCTTTTACCATACTTAAGACTAAAGATACATACTTTTTAAAATTAAGTATGGATACTGTTAGTGTGGCCTGTGACCTGGAAATAAAACCTAAGTGGCCCATTGCAAAATATGAACTGTGATAGTTTCTTATCAAGGGACTATAATACAAGATCCTAACATCCACAAAGACTTATTCAATCTGCTCAAATCCCTAGACTGCAGCCCACATCCTAGCTACTTCCCAACAGCCAAGGCAGACTGAGAAAATGTATTAAAGTTTCAAAACAGATCAAATATTCCAAAAACAATAACAGTCCCATCTGTAGGTAGATCCTACTGCATGGATTTCAGTATCATCAGATCCCGATTTTTACAGAACACTGTTGTGCTATAATGAAGTATTTCTTCTGACTGTGAAGAAGGTCCTTCACAGTATACTTTTATCCTGTAGGACATACAGAAAGAGCTTCAAGGTCAGCAAAGCCACATCAGCTCCACGCAAGAAAGTCTTAATAACTTGTGCCGCAAGTATCACTCAGTGGAGTTGGAGAGCCTGGGACAGGCGATGACGGGAATGGTAAAGAAACAGGAAGCTGTGAGTCAGCTGTGCTCCAAAACCCAGGCCAGCCTGCAGGACGCCCTGGAGAAACACTTCAATGGTGAGTTCCCACAGACCTTAACTGCTCGGGAGAGGAGTCTGAACCAAAGGCTGCCTAGAAACCGCCAGCCAAGGCTGGAGGACCTGCCTCTGAAAGACAGCGTTTTAAACTCACTAGTGCTTTGGCATTGGAATGGTAGAAGTGTGGGGCTGGAGACCCTTTCCCTCAGCAGAAGAATTCTTCCCTTGTCTCCGGGTGAATTAGAAGGTAGCGTTTTGATGTTTCTGAATTTCATCAGGATTTTTCAGCTGGCTCCAGCAGTCACTGCCCAAATCCTATGGAAGTTTCCGTAGGCTGAAATACCACCGTAAACTTGGGTGCTTGAGGTGGCTGTAAGCAGTGCTAGCTCCATATTCTAGGAAGTTGCCTATCCTGGGTCTCTGCTGCCTGAAGTCTGATAGGGATGCAGAGCAGTTCTCTGAGTCCCGTGGTATAAAGGAGAAACGGTTCTTCTCCACGCCATAATAATGCCTTCTATGCTAGAGTGTCTCCCTTTACAATCAGATGATCTGAACCAAATGAAGAACACGGGATGGGAAAGCAGGACTTCCAGGAATACAAAACAATTCACGGTCTCTTCTCTTACAGTCTCCCCAATCTGCCGGGAACATTGGTGTAGATCCGCCTGTCTTGTTTCCTACACCATCACTTTCATTCCATATTTCATCAGTGCATGGTGTGATGTGCTGGGGAGAATTAAGTGATTCTCAAAGTCATTTAGTTTGACATTATTCTTATTCATTACTACTCTTATTCTTCATTGTTGTTACTTTTGAAAGATTCTATGCAGGAATTCCAGGAGTGGTTTTTGAAGGCAAAAGTAGCAGCCAAGGAGTCGTCTGACAGAACTGGTGACAGCAAAGTTCTAGAAGCCAAGCTCTGTGATCTTCAGGTACGGAAACCCAGCCCATCATCCCCCGACACTCTCACATGCCTTCCATCGGACCTACACCAGCTTGTTTCCAAATCTTCTTGTGTCAATCTGCCCTTCTCCTTCTCTAATATAATTGGGTTATTGAGTCAGACAGAGACAGGTATTGGGAAATGTCACTGAGAAAACAATTCAGAATAGAAGACAACCCATGGGAGACATGGTATCTGGATTGGGTTGAGACTTCATTGAGGAGAGATGGAGACCACAACCCCAGTGGGGAATCCTCTTTTCCAGGACGCATTGTTCCCAGTGTCCCAGTGTCCCAGTGCTTCCTTCCAGTGGCTATTGTCCTCAATTGGGAATCTCCATTTTACCCAGTAGTACACATTATTCTCACTCCAGCCTTCTCAGGTCTTCTTCCTGTGGGCTCTGCTTTTCTGGTCTTAGTCTACTAGCTCAGCTCAGCATTTTAAGATATAGTTCTCTGCCCTAGAGTCTGAAACATGTTATCTTTTTCTCCTGAAACAGAGCGTCTTGGATTCAGTCAGTGATGGGCAGAGTAAGCTTGATATGGTGACTCAAGAAGGACAAACTTTGTATGCACATTTGCCTAAGCAAATGGTCAGCAGTATCCAGGAGCAGATCACCAAGGTGAACGAAGAGTTCCAGGCATTTCTCAAACAGTGCCTCAAAGACAAGCAGGCCCTCCAAGACTGTGTTTCAGAGCTGGGGAGGTACGTTGTGACCATGAAGGCAGAGCTGTGATGCTTGAAATGGTGAATGTAAATTGATCGTGCAATTGGACCTAATTAAGCACAGATTTATTTTAGTTTAATGGCCAATTATGCACTATCTGAATTTATCACTTGGCTTTATTTTCTAGAAAAGTAAAACCTAAGGAATTATAGTCACTAGTTATTGTAATTGACATAGTTGCATGTGATTTTTGTCAAATTGTCTTACTCGCCAACTTAGAGCTTTGATAACTGAATGTGCTTTCAAATTTTCCAAACCTTTTTCACAACAGCTGTGGTAGACTCATGGCAGAGACAACTATTGAATTGATTATAAAAAATAATATATGTTATTGTGGATAATAGAAAAGTAGAAGACAAAACATCATCATCCCTACAAGGGAAGAAGGCAGTAATGATCAAATTACCTTTCTGGAGTCCAAATGAATATCATGTGTCCCAGAGAGCTCATATTGTTATGAGAACTTAGAGATTTTGTTCTAAATTCAAATTTTCTTAAGAAACAAAAACATAGTGTTTAGGAGTGATGAGCACACCTGTAACCTAGCACTCAAGCAGCTAAAGCTGGAGGACAGTGAGTTCAAAGCCACCTTGAGCTACAGAGTGAGAACCTGTCTTAAAAGAGAAAAAAAGGAAGAAAGAAAGAAAAGAGAGGAGGGAGGGAGGAAGGAAGGAAGGAAGAAAGGAAGGAAGGAAGAAAGAAGGAAGGAGGGAAGGGGCTGAGGGAAGAAGAAAGAGAAAGAAGGGAGGGTGGAAGACAGTGAATGAGAAAGGAAGAAGAAAGGAAGAAAGGGCAGGAGGGAGGGAGGAAGAAAGAAAGAAAGAAAGAAAAAGAAAGGAAGGAAGGAAAGAGAGAAAGGAAGGAAGGAAAGAAAGAAACAGAGAGAGAAAGAAAGAGATGTAGAGACCCCTTTCCCTTCTTTCCCTGGCTTCTACTGGTCCTCTTACCTACTAGGCCTAATTCAAGAGTCATTGGAAGAAGACATAAGGTTTGGGACATGTTGACATGAGAATAGATTTTCATTTTCTGTCACCAGCAATGACATTAATTCAGCTAGATGATTGTTTTCCCCTATCTCAAATAGATGGTGACACAGTATATCACTTTGTTACTGAAATAAGCAGTACTATAGACAGGCTTATTGTGGAGCTTCCCTTATAGCTTGAAAATTCCTGGTATCTCAGTGGTCATATAAAAGCCATTTGACCTCAGCTATTAGAACTTACAAAGAAAATTTCTCTTTGTTTTTTTTAGCTTTGAGGATCAACACAGAAAACTAAACTTATGGATCCATGAAATGGAAGAAAGGTTAAATACAGAAAACCTGGGAGAGAGTAAACAGAATATCCCTGAGAAGAAAAACGAAGTTCATAAAGTTGAAATGTTTTTGGGAGAGCTGCTGGCTGCCAGGTGCAGTAGAGAGATTGACTAAGTTATTTATTTGTCAATGGGTTTAGACGGGTGGGCTGGTTATTGGCTGGCTTGCTGATTGGCTGGATGGTTAGCGGTGGTAATGATCCCTTCTGCTGTGAATGTTTGGCATACAAACCATTGCACTCTGGGCTTTATGAACAGAGTATAGAATAAAAATGAGAAGCTCATTTGCATCTCAGTTTCATCTTCCTTAGCTTAGGAATTTGGGCAGATCCTTTATCTTTGTAACTCTTGACTTTAGTCTTTCAAGATCGTGTTAAGAATAGTATGCCTTCTCCAGGGTTCTTTTGAGAATTAATTAATATAATGTGAAGATGATATGAAGAAAAACCACAAATTCACAGTGACTATAAAGGTTTTTTTAAAATGCAGTGATCTGCAGTTTTCACTCACTGTAGCTTCCAGTTCTGTTTCCTATCCACTCAATCTTGTGCTGATGTTAGTGAAGCCACAGTTTTGATCGCCAAGTTGTATGTTCTTCTCCATTGTGTTTTCTGTTTTTATTGTTTCTGGGGCTCCATTCCCAAGCAGAGTTTCCTCATCTAGGCTCCAGGCCCTGCTATATTTAGTGTTCCATTCTGTTCCTTAAATTCGTGCCCCACCCCTGACATTTTCATTTGCTTCCTTTCTCTGGAATGATAGAAGACGCTCCATCGGGAAGTGCAACACTTGAGAAAAGTCTGCTCATGTCCAATCCGTTATCTAGTGAATCTGCAGATGTGAAATGCAAGGATAAGGAATCCCACTGTAGTTACTGTCATGCAAGCATGATAATTATTAGACATTTTCCCTGGAAGTCCTTGGCTTTGTCTCTGAAAACCCTTTCAGAGCTTCATCATCTTCATAGCGACATCGTCTAACATAGAACTAGGAAAAAATCAACAACAGAAAAACCAGAGAATGAACAGAATAATGGCATCATTTGTTTCTGGAAATCACACTATGCTTTATTTTGCCTTTTTGGGGCTATTATATACCAGCAGCTAGCCTTCGTCTCTTTCTTTCAGACGTTCTAAGTGACTCCCCTGATGTCTTCCTCTTCTGCCCTGTAACAAGTGACTCAACTAACCCACCGTTAATCCAGCTCTTCTTTCGCTCACTGTTCTAATATTGTAGTTTTTAGACACTGACAAGCCCTTTGTCTTTCTTTCATTTGTGCTCTTTGGTGGTCCAGGGCCAGACAGTAAGTGGCGTGAGGTTTTCTTGTCCATGCTGTCTTTCCACTAACGTTAGCAGTGGTCCACAGCACTCACAAGCCGTGAGTTCCCCACCAGCTTCCATCACACCTGTGCTGCTGTGCCTCTCAACGGCTGGAGATTTTTCACCACAGAATTTCCATTACTTTAAGTATATAGAGAAATGCCTTCTTTAAAATTACAGACTTGAGACTCATTCAATTTTTATCATCCAATAGCAATTTGTCTTATAGCAGCTAATGAATTCTCTTGTCTTGAATTGTTTCTTAGCTCACATTCTTACTGACTGTACCTCCATGCTTCTCCAAACATATCACAAGGAGAGGAGGTGTGGTCTGTGTCAATGGAGTAGTCACTCATAAAAAAATAGAAGCTGGAAGAGATGCTCTTTGTGTTCTATCTAGAAATCACAGCTGGTTGTATTCAGACATCTTCACACTCTAGCCTGTTACAGTTGGCTTTTTCTAATAAATGTGTGGATAAGAGTTTCAAGCTCTCTAGATTGAAGGTGATAGAGACTATAGGGCAGAGGGGGCAGGAAGAGATCATGATCAAAGTGTTTAGACTCTCAGTTTGCAGAAACATGGGGGTTTTGTTTGGGTTTATTTTTATTTGTGTTCTATGGGTGTAAGTAATTTTAAAAATTCAGATTATTGTATATTGCAAAGTTTCTAAGAAAACAAATTTCAACTGAGCTCAGGATAAAACGTAAGTATTTGAGGTAATGATTTCACTAGCCTGATTAATAGTTTACATTGTTTTAAAAAATTATAGCATTATTATTTTTAATATATTTTTTATTGTGAAAATAGTTTGTAGCTATAAAGTCAATTTGTAATTTTAAAAAGTGCACGATTAGCTAACTTTCATTGAAGAAGAGAACTTTTAGATCTCTGTAAAACAGAGTACCTGTCCATTCAGTGATGGCATTTTCCCCTTCCCTTACCCAACGTGACTCCAGAGTGAGAGGTCTCATAGTGCACCCAGAGGGAATCCGGAGCACTCTTGGCCATGAGTACTCTTGGCCATAGCCTTAAAAAAAATCCTCCCCTTCTTTGTCTCTGCCCAGCACTGTGTCGGGTCCTGGGAGGACGTGACTGGGGTATCACTGGCATATGGCACAAGACAGTCTCATGGATGGAGCCTGGCAAAGCAGGGCAGGAACAGCGGGCACAGGAGAGGAAGCATGCAGCTCCTCTCTCCCCGGGGTTGTGGGGATGCTTCCTGGGAACACGAGGCCCGCAGAGTGCTGCTGGAGTAGCTGAGAGAGAAACAGGAGAGCTGAGGGTGTTCACCGAGGAGGCCCCACCCCCATGTGTGGACAGCGCAGTGGGGTGTGCATTTGGGGGGAGGGTTTCAAGGTCAGACTGTTCCAAGGTTGCAGGTGATCCTGGACAGGAAGTCCCGGCCCGTTCCAGTAAATTCCTAGTGAGGTGGTAGGCTCCGCCACCATGATTTGGATTTGGGCACTCCATCTGTTGACCATATAGGAAGGCAAGGAGCCAGCTGGGCTCCTAGCCGTTTATTTTATTTTTTTAAATTTTTATTGTTATTCCAAAGATGACATACAAGAGGGGTTGCAGTTATGGAAGTTAGGTAAGGAGTACATTTAGTACATTTTCTCTTAGGTTCAATGCCTCTGTGCATCTGATCATACAAAATAATATTTATTGAAATGAACTCCAGAAAATGGAAACAAGCAAGAGTTTTTTTCTTTTTTGCTGTTTTTGTTTTCTTTTCATCTTGTTTGTTCATTTAGATGTCTTTAGAAGTTCAAGGGGCGGCAGCGAAATGGAAGGACAAAGTGTAAACATGCAGCGGTGATACTCACTAGACACTATGTTGAAAATGAGCTGTGTAACTTGTGAGTGGGAACAGAGGGGAAAGAGAGAGAAGTGTACTCTTTACCTGACTTATGAACCAGTAACCCCTCTGTACATCACCTTTATAATAACAATAAAACTAAAAACAAAGTACATTTCTTTTTGGGCAGTGTCACCCTTCTCTCACTCTCTCCCAGTGTCCCTTCCATCCCCACCCACAAATGGTGTACCTCAGTTTCAACATAAAGTCTAGTGAGTACCACTGCCTAGCAGGTTCATTTCGAAGGCGTGTCAGCCAAGAGCTCTGGTCTGCTTTCTGTTCCAATATCAACAGTCACTTGTCTCTCCCCTCATGCTCCAGAATGTTGAAATGAACCAGAAAAATAATCTGATTTTCCTTTCAGAGAGTCTCTTGATAAGCTTTCCCAGCGAGGGCAGCTTCTCAGCGAGGAAGGCCATGGCACTGGGCTGGGCGGCCGCCTGTGCTCTCAGCTGCTCACCAGTTACCAGAATTTACTCAGGATCACCAAGGAGAAGTTGCGGGGCTGTCAGCGGGCCCTTCAGGAGCACGAAGCTTTGGAGGAGGCACTGCAGGGCATGTGGTCTCGGGTGAAAGATGTCCAAGACAGACTGGCCAGTGCGGAGAGCACGCTCGGGAGCAAGGACGCCCTGGAGAGACGGCGGTCACAGATCCAGGTACTTGCGGCCCAGCCAGATGCTGGGGATAGATGAGGTCAGCTTCCCGGGAGGATGGACTTGGTTCTCATTGTTCTGGGAGCATCAAAGGAGAATTGTGTGGGTGAAAATGGAGACACTGCAAAAGTTATATACACATAACCATATAAGATGATGCTAAGTGAAATGAACCCCAAGATAGGGACACAAGAGGTTTTACCTTTCTTGCTGTTGTTTTTAATGTATTTATAATGTATTATGTGATTTTTTTGTTTCTTTTGTATGTTCTTACCCCATTGGGATAACCCCTATTTTTACTGTATTTGGTTCCAGTGCCCCCGCATCTTGTATATACATTTTTCTATTTGGGGGAGGGGAAGGGAACTAACAAAATGCTGAAATAAGGATACAGGTTGACCCATTGTAACAATGAGATGTACAAGACACTATGTTAAAAATGAACTTTACAACTTGGGGGTGGGGGGAGAGAGGGGTAGGGGAGGTGGGGAGGGAAGGGATGGTAGGGGAAAAACAAAGGAAGAGGTAATAATGCTGGATAGGAAATGCGCTCATTACCTTACTCATGTAACTGTAACCCTCTGTACAGTATCTTTACAATAAAAAAAAATACAAAAAATGGAGACACTGGGCAAAAAGCACATGGAGACCCAAATGTCCCCTTTGAAATGAAACATTTGGGAAGCTATTTATGATATGTTGGTGCAAGCCTGTGATCCCAGGAAGCATGAAGGAAGAGGCAGGGGGAATCATGGGTTCAAGGCCAGCCTAGGCTACAAACCCTACCTAAAGAAGAAAAGAAGAAAAGATAAAAGGAAAGGACAAGAAATCAAAGGAAAAAAGGGAAAAGGAAAAGGGAAGGGTGGAGGAAAAAAGAAGAAAAAGAAACATTTTTTGATCACTTTAAAGTTATCGTTAATTCCATTTAGTAAATAATTATCAAGCATAACTGGGTACTTTATTCCAGGCACTATGCAAGTTTCTGAAGATACAGGGTGAAGTTATTGGTGTACTTTCTAGGGTTTCATGGTGTAGCTGGAGAGACCAAAAGTGAACTGCTGTGCAGTGGAAGGGCTGTGTTAGAAGCACAAAGCAGACCACCAGCTCAGAATCCAGGCAGGGAGCGAAGGTGACCTTCAAACAGGGCAATCTGAAAGGCAATGAAGGCCGGGGATAGTTAGGCTCTTGACCAGTATGTCAAAATGATTTCTTTTTCCTTTTGAAACCAATCACCAAAGTTAGAATTTCTGGGCTACTGGCCCAGTTTTCTATTCATTTAATTTGACCGTGATATTTGGCTCTCAGACTTTATATGTCTAAGTCTAACATAGAAGTATTGGGACAGGGCCTACAGTATAGTTTTGACTGCATAGTGAATGCTACCATCCCGTAATTCTCATGGGAAGCAGGCTTTCGTATTCCTACTAGCATGTATTCATTCTTACCTCCCAGGATATTCTCCTGATGAAAGGCGAAGGAGACGTGAAGTTGAACATGGCCGTTGGCAAAGGGGAGCAGGCCTTGAGAAGCAGCAACCAAGAAGGGCAGAAGGCAATTCAGGCTCAGCTGGGGACCCTTCGATCCATGTGGGCCGACATCATGAGCTCTGCCACCCAGGCTCACAGGTACACAGCCTGTTTTTAGTCATCACTTGCCCCAGCGTAACCCCGTATCTTCACAAGATGATGGGTCACGAGTGAAAGGGGTCCTGGGGTAGCTAGGGTATGTGTTGTTTTTGCTGACCACCTGCATTCCTGCCTCTGCCTGCATTGCATTCCGAGAGACTCTTGGTTAGCCTGCTTTGTTTCTGTGATTGTCTTTCTTTTTTAAATAAATACTTGTACCTCCCCAATATCTCTCATGGAATCTTACATAGAAGATGGGCTCAGAGAAATACTTCTTTGCATGTCACCAAAGCAAAGTTACACAGTTCTTGAATAGCTGTGTTTCTTAATAGCACATGTGAAAAATTGCATTGTTTGCAATTGGCTGAGCTCAGGTGTCCATCTATTCCCTAACCAGAAGTGATTCCACACACACATGATGCTTGCAGCAAATGTGGAGAGCATTTCTGTTTCTCACCATGATGGAGATATGCCAGACAGCTATAAAATGTGGAGCATTAGCCTGGTGCCAGTGGCTCATGCCTGTAATCCTAGCTACTCAGGAGGCTGAGATCTGAGGATCACAGTTCAAAGCCAGCCAGGCAGGAAAGTCTGTGAGATTCTTATCTCCAATAAACCATTAGAAAACCAAAAGTGATGCTATGGCTCAAGTGGTAGAGCACTCACCTTGAGCTGAAGAGCACAAGGACAGCGCCCAGGCCCAGAGTTCAAGCCCCATGATGGACCAAAAAAAAAATGGAGCATTCTCATAAACAAATATCAGACCATACCAGACCATATGTTGGGAGAACATTCGCAGTACTGTAGGAGGTCCCTCTGACATTAAAGCTAAAAAAGGATCTCATAGAAGCTCAGGGTATAATGGTCAGAGTCATGGAGAGTAGGAGGAAGAGAAAATGGAGGAAAGGCTGGCCAATGTACTGGTATAAGAACAGTTAGATTGGTACAAGAAGTTCCAGGGATGCTAATACACAGTAGGGACTTCTCATAACAATTTGCTCTTCACATTTCAAAAAGCAAGAAGGAACTTGGTTGAAAGTTTACACCATGAAGAAATGGCAAATGTTTGAGCTGAGTTAAGCCTGATTTGCACATTATACAGCAGCGGCATGTGTCAAAATATACATTGCCTTGTTAATATGTATGTACTTTGTGTGTTTTTAATGTCATCATTAACTTAGAGAAAAGGAAGGAAGGAGAAAGAGGAGAGATGGGGAAGAGAGAGAAAGACAGGGAGAGAGAGGTGAGAGAGACAGGGAAAAAGAGGAGGGCAGGGAAAGAGAGAGAAAGCAGAATCGTTTTTTACTGAAACAAAGAAGATACATTTGCTGAAAGGAAAGAGGCCTCTATAAGGTTAGAACACTCAAGAAATGATATCCGGTATAGTCGTGATAAATACATGAATAGCAGAGTACTGCAGTATACACAATGAACAATAGTTACACTAAATTTTGAGTGATTTCATTTTCTTTCTTTTTTAAATATGAAGCACAAGTATTGATTGATTTGCAAAGTAAACAGAATGTTAAAATTAAAACCAAAGGAATAATTCCTAGTGGATAACAAAGGAAGAAGTCAATTCTCACAGGTGTCTCTTATTCTGTCATAGAATACTGGAACATAAACTGAATTCCCCAATACTTAGTGGGGAATTTACTTAGTCCAGCTTTTTAAAACTGTATGGAAACATGAGTGAATAATTTCAGATGTTAGAATACAATGAGAAATGCATGAAGCAGGTCTGAGGCTTCCTAATGTCAATAGGAAGTTAAATTTGACAACCACCTCTTTAGCAGCAGCAGTGTTTAAATAATGAAACAAAACAAATTATTTTTTGCCCCCTAAGGTGAGGATAGGAGGAGACTTTACAGAAAACCCTGGCTCAGGTTGGATTACTCACACACAAGTTTCCAAAACATTCTTTGGAGGAGACAGGTCTGGGTGCTTTCTTAAATGACATTGATTTGGACCTTCTAGAACATTCTCTGAGGGAAGACCAGGCCTCTAAGGCATATATAATGAGACTGTTACTGATGCAAAAGCAAAAAAAGTTTGAGCAAATTTTGGAAGTTGAGTTGCTCCACGAGCCTACCTCTGTGATAATAAGGAACAGAAACAAGGGGCAGCCTTTGAGAGTGAGCTTATAGGTGGGCATGTAACAGTCTAGAGGGTTTACCTAGCATGTGGGGCTCTGGGCTTAATCCCCCCCCCGCACTGAAGAAGAGCGAGCAAGTGAGTGAGTGAGTGAGAGAGCGAGAGAGAATGATAATGAAAACTTTTTTGAAATGCCAGTGCAGAAAGCATTTTTATTAGACTATTTAGAAACTTAATTTCTCATGACTCTTTCTACACTTATGAACTCTGTATGTAAAATTCCCTTAAATGAAAACTAATTGAAGGATAGTATCTACAGGAAAATAATAGCTTGATTTTAAAATGTAGTCAACACATAATGTCCATCCTATTTTAGTAAGACAAACTAAGCTCAACAAAAGCAAGGGCTAATATGTACTAAATAGAATTTAATGGTGCTGTGGTTCTGAATTGCTGTAATATTCTATACATATTTACCTGCTCATTTGGGACAATTGAGCATTTGGAAGAAAGCTTTCTATGTGTGTGCACGAGTACAGATTTTTCAGATTTTAGCATGAATTTGCTTTGTTTGAGGTACAGTTTGGGACTGATGAATCAGTTTTCTCTCTGTACATAGAGGTGACATTCGCTCACAGTAGCATTCAGTAAAATGGTTTCCAGAGGTCTGCTAACCTTCTGATGGGGTTTTGGTGTAGACACAAAGGTGAACAGGTCCTTATCATATGTGGCGTTACCCTCTAGCACTCTGGAGGCTGTGATTGGCGAGTGGAATGACTATCTAGAGCGAAAAAACCAGTTGGAGCAGTGGATGCAATCAGTGGATCACGAAGTAGAACATCCCTTACACCTGCAGCCCGGCCTGAAGGAGAAGTTCTCCCTGCTGGACCACTTTCAGTCCATCGTCTCGGAGGCGGAAGAGCGCGTCGGAGCCCTGCAGCACCTCCCGGCACAGTGCCGGGAGCTGTACGAGAAGACCCAGGATGAATCCTTCAACGAAACTGCTCAGGAGGAGCTGAGGACTCAATTCCAGGACATCACCACCGTGGCCAAGGTCAGTGTCTCAGTCCCAGGAAAGCTTCAAGGTTCAGAGGAAGGATGAAGAGTGGGTTAGATCATTGGAGAACTGGCTTCTCTGTTGTGAGATGCATGGTTTTAGTCCCTACGTATTACACTGAGATGTAAAGGATCGTCCTTCACTACATCTGACACTCACAGCAGCCTTCTCTTTTTGCAATCTTCAGATGATTTCTTGTTCCCTATGGTTTTGGGTCCTCAGCTTTGTTTTTGTTTTTGTTTTGCCCCCTGGTCCTAGGGCTTTTCTTTCAGGGCCTGGGCACTGACTCTGAGTTTTTGGTTTTTGTTTGTTTTTCTCAAGGCTAACACTATACCACTTCATCCATAAATCCACTTCCAGCTCTTTTTGGTGATTAGTTGAACATTAGAGTCTCATGGACTTTACTGCCCTGGCTTGTTTTGAACCATGATCCTCAGATCTCAGCATCCTAAATAGCTAGGATTACAGATGTGAGCCACTGGCACCTGGCTGTTACTTCTTTAATTCTCTGTATGAATCTCTATGTTCATTTATGATTTTTCTTTTGTATATTGGTGAATGTTATAGGCGATGGGCTTTCTGACTCACAGCTGGTGCTGGGAGCCGTGCCTCCAGTCCAGCTTTTTGCTGGTAAGTTGCAGAGATAGACTCTTTAAAGACTTTTTCTTTAAGAAAGAGTGGCTGGTAACTGCTCAACATCCTAGGATTAGAGAAGTGAGCCACTGATGTGAAACGAAGGAAGAATTTTATTTTTGCTTATCCTTGCTTTGGTTTACTCTCGAGAACTCTGATTTACTGATTCTACAATGACTGACATATGTCTGTTTAACCTTTATTTTTATCTTGAGAACGACTAAGAACTATAACCATGGAATCAGAAAGACCTAAGTTGTCAAACTTTTTAAAAAGCTTAATTTAATTTTATTGTTCTTTTTAATTTTTGTTAAATAGTTGTAAAAAGGGGTTACCATCCAACATGTCAATTTATGAGTAAAATGCATCTTGATCAGTGTTACCCTTTCTAGCTCTGACACTTTTTGGATGTCTGAGTTTGGGCTCATTATCTAGTATCTAAAAGCCTGTGTGTCCTTTTGTAGTAAATAGTAAATGTGACAGTATTCAGAGCATAGAGCTGATGGAAGTGGTAGATGAGGAATTGTGTGTAAAGTGCTGAGCAGAATGCTTTATCTCAAGCTAAGAATGGTTATTAAGTAATTAAGATTAGGTAGGTCATTATGAAGGAGAATTAAAGAAATAACAGCCAGGTGCCCATGGCTCACATCCGTAATCCTAGCTATTTAGGATGCTGAGACCTGAGGATCATGTTTCAAAACAAACCAGGGCAGAAAAGTCCATGAGATTCTTATGTTCAAGGAAACTGAGGCCTGGTAAAGGCAACTCAGAAATATGGCATTTAGAACCATAGCAGTGCTATCTTTGCTTTAAAGAGAGATAACAAGATGCATTCCTTCCTGAGGAATGCATTCCTCACCCCAAGAAGGAACACTTGTCTGACAAGATGTATGCCTTCCTGAGAAAAGTGCTTCCCCAAACTTAAGCCACCTCCTGCCCCAAAATACAGATAGCAGGGCACCTCCTTATCTCAAGGATAAGGATCTGTTTTATGTCAGGATGCGTTCTTACTTGGAAACTCAGAAAGTAGCACCAGGTGTGATTGGAACAAAGACAAAATACCTATCTTTATATAACTTTGAACCCAGACCCCCCCCACCTTTACCCTATAAATACCCCAACAGCCCAAGGAGCCGTGTGTCTCTCTCTATATATGTGTTTCTGTGTGTGTGTGTGTGTGTGTGTGTGTGTCTTTATCTCCCTGTGAAAGCACCCACACTCTGCTAGAGTATTCCCCTGCCTTCTGCTTGCATATGTTTGTTTGCTTTTTGTCTGTTCATCTGCTTGCCTGCTTGTTTACTTACTCAACAAAACTCTGCCAAGTTTTCTTACCACCATGACTTGTCCAGAAATTCTTATTCTGTGAACAAAGTTAAGGACTCTAAGTGAAGAGTTCCTATCTTTAAAGGAAAGCTTCATTAAACCTCAATTCATTTGGTGACAGTTAAGGATATTATCCAACATATATTAAACATGGATTTTTATCCTATGCTTACAAAGTAATGATGGTTGCTTCCTTAAAGACTTTGAAGATTTGACAATGTCTTTTTAAGATATGAATCTCAGAGAATATCGATGAGTAAGAATGAAGTCTTGTTACGATAAAGTAGACCTGTCAGGCCTGTGCATGCATGAAGTCTCATCTTTGACTATAGCAGCTGTGGCTGAAGTAGCCTCTCCCTTGTTTCGTAGGAGAAAATGAGGCGAGTGGAAGAGATTGTGAAGGACCATCTCATGTACCTAGACGCTGTCCAGGAATTCACAGATTGGCTCCACTCAGCCAAGGAAGAACTTCACCGCTGGTCAGACATGTCCGGGGACTCCTCAGCCACCCAGAAAAAGCTGTCCAAAATTAAGGTTAGAAAATGGACTGGTATCATACTACTGATGTCCTATTACACTATTTCTCAGGGATTTGAATGTAGGCGGCATATTTTTGATGAGGACTCAGTGGATAAGATCACTATGTGAAAGTTGTCCTTCCTCATTTGGGCTAGTTGTTATTTTTTTCTTACCTCAGTAACTGTAAATATAGATGAACCCTAAGAAAACAATTCAAAGGGATTTATTTACCAGTGAGCAGTATGTGGTATCATCTGTGTTCATTTTTGTTACCATTCAAAATCTAGATTAGTAGAATTGTGGATTCAAATATTTGCCTATTTTATGCAAATGTACTTATTAATATAGGCTAGGAGAATGAATGATATATATGCATATATATGTACACAGAGAGAGAAAGAGAGAGAGAGAGAGAGAGACTACCTGCTGGGCTGATACATGTATGACCTAATGATAGATCAATTTAATTTTCTGGAACCAAGGAGAGACCCAGGGTTGCATCCTGTCTGTCCTCATTCTCTTTTTCTTTCTTTCTTCCTTTCTTCTTTTTTTTTCTTTTTCCAATTCCTGGGGCTTGAACTCAGGGCCTGGGCACTGTCCCTGAGCTTCTTTTGCTCAAGGCTAGCGCTCTACCACTTAAGGCACAGGCCCACTGCTGGCTTTTTCTATGTGTGTGTGTGGTACTGAAGAATCAAACCCAGGGCTTCATGCATGCTAGGCAAGCACTCTACCACTGAGCCACATTCCCAGTCCGCTCTCCTCATTTTCTAGCCACATCTTTGGCAACGTTCTCAAGTCTCCATCTCTTCTTAATTAACTAAAAACAAAATAAAAGGAATAGAAATAGAACCTGCCTCATGGAGTTGCTATGAGGCCTAAAGCAGGTCAGTCATATAAAATAGTGTGCATTGTGTTTAGCAACTCCAACATGTGAAAATCCTGTGGGTTGAGTAACTGTCCTTCATTGGCTATGGCGTGGCAAGGTGTGAGGGTCAAAGGTGAAGGTCAAGTCTGTAGCAGGAGTCAATAAAATGATCACCACTCTAGGAAAGTGGGTACTTGCAGGGCAGACACCAGGAAGTCAATGATGACCATAAGGAATTAGATCTACCAGGTTAGGGGAATGTTGAAGAGACAGTTGTGTATCCAGAAAAAAAATGTGATGAGTACTTACTTTTACCAAGACATTTTTTAAAAAAAATTGGCCAAATACCTCCTGAGTTTTTATTTGTTAGTCTGCTTGCTTGTTTTGGTGCCAGTCCTGGGGCTTAAACTCAGGGCCTTGACCCTGTCCCTGAGCTTCTTTTGCTCCATGCTAGCACTGTTTTTGGGATCCTCAGATCTCAGCTTCCTGAGTAGCTGACATTATAGGCATGATCCGCCAGTGCCCAGCTCACCTTGTAACTTTTTAAAAGTAGAAATAACACTAATAGAGGAACACAGACTACAGGTTACATGTAAACTTTTCATGAAGTCATTATATGAATTATCTATTTTAGTGGCTATAAATATGTTTACAGCCTATAAAGGAAGGCTCGTTTTTGTTGTTGCTGTTGTGCTGTGTCATTCTGACTCCCAGAAGAACTGAAAGGTGATTTTAAACTGTTGTCTGGTGGGGGTGGGGAGGTGCCGAGGTGGTGAAAGTAGTTAGGAGTCTGAGAATAGGAACACAGCCCTGCCTCCCTTCCCTCCTGCACATCCATTTAGAGGAAATAAGGTTTGGCTTACTTACAGGACCACAAGGCACTTATGCACTTACAGATCTGTGGACTCACAGGCACAGATCTAAGTCACACGTTTCCCCCTATTCAAACAGTGCCTGAGTCCGGGGCCCTGGCTGGTGTGTCTCTGGGTGTTGAGACATCCTAGATTCTGTGACCTGGCAGTACAAGCTCTCCCCAGCTATGATAACTCGGGAGTACGTGGACCCACGAACTCTGGGTCCTTGTGCTCAAAGTTCCTAGCAGGACAGTCCCCTCCGCACATGTTTGAAAACTTGCAGCCCAAGTGACTCACAGCCTCCTGGGTTTCCATGGTGACATTCCATTACAGGAGCTGATAGATTCCAGAGAGATCGGAGCAGGCCGCCTGAGCCGAGTGGAGTCCCTGGCCCCTGCAGTGAGACAGAACACAGCTGCCAGTGGGTGTGAGCTCCTGCACACCGAGATGCAGGCCCTGCGCGCCGACTGGAAGCAGTGGGAAAACAGCGTGTTGCAGACACAGAGCAGCCTGGAGAATCTGGTCAGTCAAATGGCGCTCTCCGAGCAGGAGTTCTCAGGGCAAGTGGCTCAGCTCGAGCAGGCCCTGGAAGAGTTCAGGGCCCTGCTACAGACTTGCGCCCAGCAGCTAACTCTCCTGGAGGGCAAGAACACCGATCAGGAGATTGTGGAATGCTGGCACAAAGGAGGAGTAAGTTTGCCTTCCTGTTTTCTATTGGTGGTTACGTTAAAATGCATTTGTTTTGCCTTTCCTTAGGTGCTTAGAAAAAGGAAACCTGCCATCTTCAGATTTGAAAGACGTATTTATGTTATTACATTTGTAAAGCCGGATCTTGCTTTTTTTCTCCTAAATCAAATGTTGGTAGAAAGTAACTAATGTGAGTGTTGGGGTCTGGGGGAGATATTAATTCCTGGAGGAAACATATTACATGAGAAGGCATTTTCTTTTCCTTCTGATGGTGCAAGACTTTGTAATACTGCTTCAGCCGGTCAGCCTGTGGGTAGAGGAATAAATAGACAAAGTAGTCATAGCTGTTTTCTTGCCAGTTAACTATTTCAAACAATCCATGGCTTTGAAAGACACGGTAAGTAGTCAGTTTCAGCACATCTTCACCCTGACTAGCGTTTCTGTATGTAGTTGTGACAGCTCTGCTTGCACTAGCTGGTTGCTACTCATTAATACAACTTCTCCTGCATTCACTGGACGCCTCTGGGCCTTTAAAAACAAAAACAAAAACAAATGCCAAAGTTCTTCCTGAAGGGGAGGAGATGGAGCAGAAACAGGGTAGGGCGGGGGGAGAGGGGAGTGAAGACAGGGCAGACGTTAAAAATCCGTTCTTTGACTGTTCGGTAGAACCTTTGAAAGCTTCTGTAGTATTAGCAGTTTTACAATGCTCACAATCATGGCTGTCCTTAAAAGGAAGTTGAGTGAAGTCAACTTCTCTGCTTCTATTTATATGATAATCATTTCAAAATAGTTCCAGCCAGTTCCAGCCAAAAGTCAAGAATTTTCCAGCATTGTCTTATTTTTCAATCAAAATAAACTTCCTAATCATTTCTTTCTGCTACTTTATTTGCAATGGTTCTTGGTTGTTTTGTTTTCATGCCTATTGTAAAATAGGCACAAAGAAACTGGAATTATTTCCAAGTGGTCTGATTGTGAGAAAAAGTCAGTCACAGTGTGTTTTTAACTCCTTTTAATTTTGTTTTTCCTTGTTTTTTTTTAACTCATTTTTATTTTCTTTCCATTCCATGAATATGAGAGGTTTTCTCCTTCCTTCCTTCCTTCCTTCCTTCCTTCCTTCTTTTTTCCCCTCTTCCTTTTTTCTTCTTTCTTTGTTCTCTCTTCCTTTTTCTCTCTCTCTTTCTTTCTTTCTATGCCAGTCCTGGGGCCTGCATTCTGTCCCTGAGGTATTTTTCTCAAGGCTAACACTCTACCACCTCAGGCCACTATCCCACTTATTGTTTGGGGGTGATTAATTGGAGACAAATGTCTCATGGACTTTCCTGCTCTAGCTGTCTTCGAACTGTGATCCTCAGATCTCAACCTCCTGAGTAGGATTAGAGACATGAGCCATCAGCACCCAGCTCTTTTTCTTTGTTTCTTTAAAGGAAGATTTGGTTTTACCTTGATGATGTGACTGGTAACAATTCATGCTGACCACCCTCAGCTCTGCCAGGGCCTCATCCACACTTGGCTTTTTGCTGAAGTGTTTGAGGACTGTGGGGCACCGCTCCTCGATACTCACATTGTATTCCTAATAATGTCATTTTACATAAAAATAGTAATGAAGGTGTAAGAAAAAAGTTTTGGATACAAGTCCTAGGCTTGAACTAAGGACTTGGGAGTTGTCCCTGAGCCTTTTTGCCCAAGGTTGGTACCCTACCACCTAAATCATAGCTCCACTTCTATGTTTTAGAGGTTAATTGGGATAAGACTTTCTTGTTTGGACTATATTCAAATTACTACTACATTCTCAGCTTCCTGAGTAACTAGGATTACAGGAATGAACCACTGGTGTCTGACTACAATAACGCTTATAAAATAGCAGGTTTGCCCAGGCACTGATGGCAGTGTTTGGATATTATCACTGGCAACCATAGCGATAATCTCCAAACCCCGTGAGGATTTATTTCATATGTTTGAATGGTGGAACTCAAGAAATCCTTAAACACAAGAATGAATGGTCCGAAAATTTTATAATATGGTGTTGTAAAATATTTTGAGGGTTGTGTTAGCCAAATTTACTTATTTTAAAATTTGTTTAGTTCCCAGTGTGCTAATACAGAAATTTCTTTTGGCTATAGGACAAAAAAAATGCATTCTAGGGCTTTAGTGAATCCAAAGTATAAAATTCAAATGAGAATTTACATAAGGAAAGGCTCCAATAAAATATTTTAATTTGTTTTTATTTATTTTTTAATATTTATGCACCATTTATTCAAATACTTGTTTATTTATTTAGTTTTACAATACTGGGGTTTGAACTCAGCTCCATACTTGTGAGGAAAGTACTCTACCACTTTTTGCCACACCCACAATACTTGTTTGCTCTACTTGCTTTCCAGGTAAGAGTTCACATGCTTTTGCAAGGCCATGTTCTTCTTCCTATGTCTCTTGTATAGCTGGGATTATAGATGCAAACCATGCTGCCTGGTTTATTCATTGAAATGGGGTTTTCCTACATTTTTGCCATGGCTAGCCTCAAAACTCCATCTTCTCATTCTCTGCTTCCCAAGTGGCTGGGATTACCAGTGTGAGCCACCAGGCCTGCCTTGAATATTTCTTTTTAATGTAATTTTTGGCCAAATCTTGTCAGTTTTAGTGTCACCCAATTTCTAAATGACTCGAGTCAGTGATAAGCTTCTTTAGAACTTACAATGTTGCCCCTTAAATGAAATAATCAAATAGTTATTTGGGGTTTAGCATTTGGAGTTTCAGCAAGAAACTTTCTAGTTGCTGTTGGTGAGTTTTTAACTATAGTAGTTTTTAACTACAGTATTTAACACTGTAGTTCAGGCCCTGAGCTGAGTAAAGAGTACACCAACCAGGAGCCCCCATCCCAGATCTCATGATTAGTCTGGGTAGAAAGACAGGTATGAAACAAAAGGAGATACTCTGTCACTAACGCTCACCAGTCCCTGTGAAACCACAGCTGCAAAAGAGGGTGGAGGAGAAGCAAGGGAAGCTGGTATTGGCCCTGATTCCTGAGGCAGAATCACAACTTGGTCGGTTAGCTAAAGTAGAGGAACTTACTGTAAACTTACTATGAACGTGATGTGAACGTACTGAGGAAGGATACCTGGGAGAGGAAACTGGAGAAAAGGAGTCAAGTTAGAGGAGCATTGTGCCATTCCAGAAAGCAATGTTGAAGATGTGAGCAGAGGCGGGGGTGGTGAGAGCCAACATGCAGGGGTGAAGGGGTACGTGGTGAAAGGGGTTAGGACCTAGACCAGACCCTGGCATCCCTGGAATGGAGTGACAGGGATGCAAACGGAGAGGCAGGACCATGCCTCGTCTTCTGACTGGCATTTGCCCACACGCAGTTGTGCCACACACAGTGTGTGGATGCAATGCAGACCAAGAATTCTGAAAAGAGTTTACAAAAAAAAAAATTCAGGACTCAGTTAAAAGACCAAATATATGTTTGGTAGGTACTGAGGAAGGAGAAGAGTAGCTAGCTAATGGTACAAAGAAATACTCAGCAGAATAATAGCAGCACAAATTCCCAAGTCTTGAAAAAAAGAAAAGCCCATCCAGGTACAAGAAATTTTTAGAACACTCAACAGAACAGATGAGGAAATAACCTCTTCAGGACAATTCCAGTGAAAGCATCACGCACAGAAACAAAGTAAGACTACTAAAATCTGTAAGAAAGAAAAACACAGATCACTTACATAGGAAAACCTATCCAGAATAACAGCAGATTTCCCAACAGAAACCCTAAAATCAGAGGTCAGGCTGGGTGCCAGTGCCTCACTCCCGTAATCCTAGCTATTCAGGAGGCTGAGATCTGAGGATCGAGGTTCAAATCCAGCCTGGGCAGGAAAGTCTGTGAGACTCTTATCTCCAATAAACCACCAAAAAACTGGTTCAAAGTAGTAGAGCACTCACTTTGGGCCGAAGAGCTCAGGGACAGCATCCAGGCCAGAGTTCAAGCCCTACGACTGACCAAACAAAGAGGGCTTTGAATGATGCAGTTAAAGGCAAATAAAAATCATTCCATGATAAGAAAGAATTAAGATAGCTGACCACTACTCCCCCTTCACTACCAAAGATTCTCAAAGATATCCTTAACACAGAAGATGTCCATGACCAGGAAAAACGTACAGAGAAAACATATCCTACCAGAGGAGTGGATGCAGAGAACACCAGGAAGAGAGGCATATGAACAGCAAATGTTACATGCTTTGAAATAACTTTTTTTTCACCTTTGAGCAATATGCAAATCTCTGGATGGCACCGACAGATAGTCTGACTATCTATTAAACAACGTAGTCTATGCTCTCTTTTCTTCTCACTGTAATCCTTTGCCCGCTTAAGCATGTACCAACATTACATTTAATGTTGGAAATCTGTCTGTGGCTAGAAAAAAATCAGCCAAGTGCTGTCATAGGAAGACAAGCTTCATTAGTCCTCTGGACGTACTGACTGGGCTGATCCATCCCTCACTAATAATTTATAATAGGATTTGTGCATATGAATTTAAAGATAGGAAATTTACTCAGTTTCATTGCTTGCTCTTCTTTCTCCTTACATCAGGAGATCCTGGAGGCGCTAAAGAAGGCAGAGCCTATGACAGAAGATCTCAAGTCTCAACTGAACGAACTCTGTCGATTTTCCAGGGACCTGAGCACGTATAGTGGAAAAGTTTCTGGATTAATTAAAGAATATAATTGGTAAGTGTAACTCTGCTTTATGAGATGATTTCATGGTGTAACCCAGGCTGACCTTGAATTCCTGGACTCCAGTGATCCTTAAGCCTCTGTCTAAAGAGGAGCAGGTGCGCATTACTGCACCTGGCTTCAGCTGTTTTTACACGAAGTAGATACTATGTCACATATGGTGGCACACACCTGTAGTACCAGCTACTCAGAAGGCTGATGTGGACATTTACTCGAACTTATGAGTTCCAGAGCAGCCTAGGAACACAGCAAGACTATTAAAAAATAAACAATAACAACTAAAACTTAAAGAAGCTACAAGCGTTTAAATTTTTATTTTAGGTTGTGGTTTCAATAAGAGCTAAATAATTAACTAAATTAAATAACTATCCCCAGGACTGTTGACTCCATAAAACATTACTTTAATCAATTGGTCGGTTTTCCTCTCATTAAATTTTCAAATCATGTGTTCAGTCTTTGTTTGCAAGCATCCAAGAGCCACCAGAGTAAAGAACAGACTTTACAGCAAAGATTTCAAAAGACCTACAGGGATTTCCAGCAATGGTTGATGAATGCAAAAATCACTACCGCCAAATGTTTTGATATACCTCAGAATATTAATGAAGTTTCAGCAAGTCTTCAGAAAATACAGGTGAGAGTCTTTTTCAGTTTCTGATAATAGTGCTAAAGTGAATTAATAGGTGCTGCTAGAGTTTTTTTTAACATTATACATCAAAGTTTTATCTAAAAATTTGAGTTTCAAGTCAGTCTCCCTTGACACAAAGAGAAACTCATCTATTCATCTGCACAAATGTGTGTTATTTTGTGTACTCTGATGTCTTAGGAAGTAATAAATGCCTTTCTTAAGGAACAGGCGTGGTGTCTGACCACTCTGAGTGGGATCTTTCCACTGTTTTTTCACTCTGGCCCTATTGGGTGGGTAAGATTATGACTGCCAGTGTTGGTCACAGAGCTGACATACGGCACAGACACTGTGTTAGTTTCTTCATTTGGGTCTCTTCATTTGGGTCTCTTCTCTAGTCTTTTCTTCACCTGGCTGCAACTTCATGATACAATTTCATGTAGCACTTTCAAATCCAATATTTTGTAGATAGAGCAGTTGTACTGTCTTTCATAATTGTGTGTGTATTTATAACCTAGCAGTTTATAAGGAATGCTTATTTTCCCCCTAGATGTCAAATGTAAGTAGAAAACTATCTACAAGAGCTCATGCATGAATTTCTCTGCTAGAAGCCCTGAAGCGTTGCCCCCATCTACCTCACTTTTTTGAATTCTTGCTTCCTGATGTCATAGGACAACTCTTGCTCTGAAAGTTTGCTCCTGTGAAATTCTTTCAGCTTTGCCCCAGGCTAAAGAATAGAACTTTGAAACTTCAATCACCACTTTGGAGAAACCCAGAGCTGTTTTTCAGGACAATCTTTTCTGTACCCCCCAGCTTAGCTTTTGTTTTTGTGCACATTTTCCACCTATTAAGACAGATGACCCAGTAAACTTCTGTACTAGAACATTGTTCATGACTGTAATATATACCCAAAAAAGGCTACATTCTAAAGAAAATTTGACCTTCATGATGCCAGAGGTCCAAGGCTATGGATGGTGGTGGAATCTGCTCAGCTCTTGTAAGGACCTCCTGGCAAATGGTACCACGGTGGCAGGAGCAAGCAACCACGTCATCACACAGGGAGCTAAATAAACTAGAAAGTCACTTGGCTTTTTCATTTAGAATAGCAGCGGGGAACTTCCAGCCCAAGAACCATATGAGGCCTGTGAAATTATTTGGTACATGACTGGTCAGACACATATGCCTCTCATGGGCTTCCTGTGACCCGTCTGCTTCTATTAATAATTTTGTGTGACCTGAAGATGTTGTTATAAATATTCAAACAGCCTTTGGCAGGAAATAGTTTCCCTATCCTTGCTTCAAAAGAAAAACCTACTCACGAAAATAAGCAGTTCCTTCAGAGACCTACTTCAGGGCCTCCTCTTAATCCCACCCTTTAACAGCACCATACTTTCCACTTTATTTATTATCAAATTGCTAGTAGTTGATAAGCTAGCTCACAGGTATTTGGGGAAAACAAGTCAGAATTTGCATTGATAAATAAAAATACTTCATAGTTCGATCACTAATGTGTCCATCTAATGCATGCAATAAAAAGTAGTTTACTGATCCTTAACATAAAGAACAATGCTGGAGGAATATCAATACCAAATTTCAAACTCTACTACAAAGCCATAGTAATCAAGACAACTTGGTACTAATACAAGAACAGACCTCAGGACCAATGGAATAGAATTGAAAACCCAGAAATGAACCTGTAGACATATAGCCTAATCTTTGATAAGGGAGCTAAAAAAATAGAATGGAAGAAAGATAGCCTCTTCAGTAAATGGTGCTGGCAAAACTGGTTAATCACTTGTAGAAAACTAAAGCTAGATCCTTATATATCACCCTGCACAAGAATCAACTCCAAATGGATCAAAGACCTCATAGTCAAAGCAGACACTCTGAAAACATTACAGGATGGAATAGGAGAAACCCTAGGTCTCCTTGGCACAGGCCAAAATTTTCTTAATGGAGACCCAGAAAC